AAAAACGCTTGGAATAGCCATGGAAAATTTAGGTACAACTTGCAGAACGAACATTTTTGAAGGGGCATTTTTAAGTATGTAATTGAATTACGCCAGTAAAACAAAAATCGCTAAAAGGAATATTGGTCACATAGATTTGAACACTCGTGGTGGGTATGGACGTGCAGTTGACTGGCAAATGTTTATCTTGTTTCTGGTTCCTACCATTGTTTGTGATATGATAAATATGCAGGCTAATGATAATAAGAGGTATCTGAATACTCCTGGTAGTAGCTTGCGCAGAACTCAATCGTTGATTGGTGACAGTTATGAGCAACATAATTTGGAGATTGAAAATCGATGCAGAGATACTGTTAGTGCTCTTAAAAATTTGTCCAGTGCTTGTGCAATTGCTTTGCAATATAAAATCAGTCAAACAGATATCAGCGAACTCAAAAGGTTAGTTACAATTAGATAAAGGTTTAAAAATACTTAAACCCAATTTTTTTAATATTTGACGGTATTCAGTAAGCTGCAGATATGGATGGATTTTGTCGGAAACACAGACAATATGACACCAAACGCAGTAACAATTAGCCAGCATTATCTATCACATATACCATATGTGATTGAGGAGCTTGGTCCTATGCGCTCGTTCAGTTGTCGACCTTTGGAACGCATGATTGGTATAGTTAAGCAGAAGATAGGGTCATTCTCCAAACCAGCGGAGAATGCATACCAAATCATTCGTACTTTGGCAGAGCAATCTTTTTTGTCCAGAAAAACACCAGCTTGCTCCAAAACATCGCTTACTGGAATCGTTATAGGCAAAGCTAACTCGGAGCATCAGCGTATTGCTGAATTCAGGCACCTTGGTGCCAACTTCCTTGAACAAGTTGAACTACAAGTTCAATGCGAGGAAATTCGAGTTGTTCAAAGTATCACAATGACGGGAAGAGGGTGCAAGCAGTTTTGTGCATCAACAGTAAAAAAAAATTCCAGCATGTTCCTCGCACGCTTACCCATTAGTAATTTCGGTGGAACTGAGAAGAAGTACTATGTCGTTCAGCTGGAGTTCATGTTTGTAGCAAAGCCGTTACCAGCTGCGAACATGTTGAACAATGATGTTTTTGCTTGGGCTAGAATATGTTCCAATATTGAGTCAACTGTTGACGGGAATACTGTTTTATTTTATACTACTAGTTCCAACAGCATGCCACTTGCTGCAGAAAGGGATCATATGAGAGTTCTGATTAACACCAATAATATCATCAGTCCCATAACAACAATACCTTCACCAATAGAAGAAAATAAGCACTACCTTGTTTGGCCATCTATGTCATTTAAAAAAGATGTGTGTATAAGCAATACGCCGTTTTGGTTTTAAAAACAAAACGTAACACTCATATATCAGACTTACTAAATAATAATAAAAAAATATTGCAAATGTTAACACTTGTTGGAACACCCCTGAACACCTCAAACGCAAGTGATGAAAAAAAGCTCTTATTTTAACACTCATTTGTCACTTTATACAAAAGTGACCGAATTCACCACCTATTTAATTACCTTTTAACACCTTTCTCTCAAGTGATAACAATTAACACTTATTTTAACACTTATTAGTCACCTTTACCAAAAGTGACGAAATTTAACACTTATTTTAACACCTTTTAACACCTTCATTCTGAGTGGTAGAAAGTAACACTTATTTTAACACTTATTTGTCACCTTTATTTAAAGTGATGGCGAAAAACACCCAAATAAACACTCAAAGTCACTCAAAGTCACTTATTTATTAATTTCACCACTTATTTTTTCCCGTGGTGTCTGATATTGAATCTAAAGGATTTGATAAAAAAACTAAAGCAAGAAGAATAATTGATTTAAAAGAGTATGTAATTATATGCCTTGTTGTCTTTGTTCAACGGCCAAAGATTATTAGATATTTATGCGTAACTTTGGAGAACTAATGCACTTTTTATAGCTGCTTCTACATTATGACACGACGTTACAGGTGTAAAAATTCGATCAAGCAGCATCATTTCAATGGGTTTGATTCCGGAATAATCAGACAGCTCCCGTTCCGAATTCAATCTGACTTTCCAGCTCTTTTAACACACAAATCTGGAATTTCAAAAGATTTGGTTAAACTAATGCGTCCATTATTCCAAAACTCTGTAGGTCCCGTGCGACTTTCAAAGATTTTGAGAGAAATGCATGCGGAACACCATGCTGGTCTCGAGTTACAGTATTACGACGCAGCCTGTAATATGAAAAAAAACCCTGGCATAGATTCACTCTTGACGAGGGGTAACGCTGAAAAAATCAAGTTTCCAGAGTTCTCTGAATTCTCTGACAAAAGATTGTATAATGGCTATGTTCCTTCTCCAGGCTATTTGAGCTATATATACACGTCGATAATCGAGAAAATACGGCCGCAATTGGATTGGCATATGATGTCCTTAAATGGTAGCATCCTTAAAGGCGACCATTCATTCAAAGTCACAGGCCATATGGGGAAACTAAAAGGAGAACCAACCTTCACAGCTTTGTATACTTGTTTAAACGAATACGAAGAAATAAGAATGCAGGTTTTGGCTCCTTCTAAGGCACTTTCTCATCTTGCTTCGCCTTTTAATGCCCTTGTAAAATCTTACACTCTTAACGGCTATCAATTACCTTCGCTTTTTTACACGGACAATGTAAACAGTGACCGAGCTTTTTTGGAAGGTGTACTACCAAGCCTGTTAGATAATGTTCGTAAGACCAGTATTCAAAAGCCAGCAAACAATGAAGAAACCTCAACTCCAGAACACAACTCAGACTTACCCGTTTTGACACTTCCGGATACCCTGAATATATCCATATTCTCCGTTCCAGAAGACATTGATAACGCATGTCAAAACATTTTGGATGGCCTAGAAACAAATAATTGTTTATACGTTGGTTTTGACTGTGAATGGATAGCACGAAACCATGGAGATTTTAATTCCAGATCAAGAGGAGCCCAAGCCTCTTTAAATGAAGTATCTCTAATCCAAATTTGCTACAAGGAACAAATTTATCTTTTTCGTACGTTTGAATTCACGGTGGATGACTTTCCTAAAAAATTACAACATCTTTTGGAGTGTGGTGATGTGAAAAAGATTGGAAAAAATGTTTCTGGGGACTTCATACGTTTAAGGAAAGGATATCAGATAAACCCTGAAGGTATGATTGAGCTGGGTACATTTTGCAAGGAAAAAGGAGTCATAGAAAAAAGGTCTTTCTCTTTGGCCAAAATTTGTGCTGTAGTTTTAAAGGCATCATTGCCTAAACCAACTGATATCAGGTGTGGAAACTGGAATGCTGATCAACTTACACAAGATCAAATCAAGTATGCCGCATTGGATGCCTATGTAAGCATGGCTATTTTTGAGAGCTTAATTGATTTTCCTATAGTGCATAAAAAGGTCAGCCCATCAACAGCAAAAAACACGCTTGTTTCGCTGTATACAAATTCATGCAAGGTCTTTCCATGTGCGTTTGGATATTTAGAGGATTTGCCACATGATTTAAGAGTACTTCATCCTGCAACAAAGACATATCTTGAAAAGAATAGAACTGTTGTAGATGAGAGTCTACAAGCTCTGGTCAAAATTGTGCAAGTCAAGATACCGGGTACAATAGTTCCAAATTACGAACTGAATCAACAAAGTATGTCTACGTCTCACCAAGCTATGCCAGTATGTTTGCAAGATTTTGGGTCAACCCCATTTCATGTTTTTGTGGATTGGAATTTGTTACGAACTGCTTCGAAGCTCCAGTTATCAACCTCCAAAAATGCAGCAACTCACTTGATATCCCTGCCCACTCCAGTCAATGAAACTTCTGCAGGCCAATCGTCAGTACCGTCTCGGGTTTTGAAAGATGCATTCCACTTGATGGATATGCTGCCATTATCTCAAAAGCATGGTATGTATAGAGAGTTTTACCAACGTTTTAGAGATGCTTTATTTGTTTACGATCCAGTAGACAAAAAAAATGTCGAAAGGTATTTGGAAACTATCAACACTGATTTTAATGCATACATGGCAAGTCATCCAGAATTTATTCTAAAGCGAGTCAAAAGAAGCATTCCTCCACCAAATCAACTACTACCTGTTGTTAAACTTCTCTTTGATCAGTATGGGCCTTTACCATGTGCCAAGACAGGATTCCCGCTCTTCGATAAGGAATCTATGAGAATATCCAAAAATATTTTAAGATCCATTGAGTTGGGTCATGTTTCTGATCTCATTGATGGCCCGCCATTGTACAGAGAAATTGGTAAAGATAATAATGGCTTAATGAAATATTCATGCTTCAGAGGTACTAGTTCCGTAGAAGGATACCATCAAAACATCATACGGAAATTCTCGTCCATCAACTCTGGTCCTCGTCTTGCCGATTCAGTTCTTGCAGACTTTCGACTATATCATAACATCGAGGTACTTTAATTGATAGATGTAAACCAATTTTTTTAATTTATTTGTGTTTAGGCTGGTGCGAGAAATCGAGAAGGTGTGATTCATAAAAGTCATTATAGTCCATGGATTACCCAATGCATAAATATGATGAGATTGGATGTTGGCCACCGTCCCGTTAAGAATTACTCGTTACATCATATCGAAAAACTGCCCGCCGATTTTGTAGGACAATACGTGGAAACTTTTGGCATAATAGCACTTGAACATCCGTTTATTGATGCTTACAACATGCAGTCAGGTGAGAGGGATGAGTTATCTCAGCAACGAAGTTCTACCAATGCGATAAAAACCAAGATGCTCGAGATGAGTTTTTTGTCAATCATAAATTTTGGAAAAGAAGGTTATTCGGCTCGCAACTTTTTGTACCGCTACTTAGCAGAAAGACAACATACACTATATGCAGTAGTACCAATTCATACCAAAGAAGAAGTATTATTGTATAAAAAGTTACTGATTGACAAAAAGAAGGAGCTTTTTTTTAATAGAGATAGTGCTACTCCAGACTTCGAGATGTTTGCAAAAATTTGGTCTGCATTTGCTGATGGTAAGGAGATTTACTATAAGACGCCAGAGCACATCAAAATTTACTTCAACAAACGAACTGAGGCCAGTGTTTTTAATGACTCAATTGCGCTCAATCAAAACATCTGCCAAAGTATTAGAAGCGTTTTGGGACGACCAGAAAGAATGCCTGAATCTGTAGCTATGTTGAGGCAACCCAGGCCAGTTAACCATTACGGAAACTTGCAAGTCGTTGTATCCGGAAGACTAACTAACCAACTGGTAAAACAGAAAAATCAGGTGCTAGGACCAGCTCCATTGGCTCCTAAATGTTTGCTCGTTTCAGCACCGAGTTTATCTCCTCTGCTCTTGCCTCTTGTACCCCCGCCATCCATCAGCCCAACAACCGCAAATCCTGTCACTAAAAAACTAAAAAGATCAAACAGGATTTGCTTTGTTTGTAAAGACTCATCTTCTTGCAGTGGTCGATCAAGATCCAAGTACTGCGTCAATAGATGTGGCATATGCCTAAAAGACAACTGTTCTGGGAGATACAAAATATCAGTTTGTCAGTTTCAATGAAACAATAAATTTAATGCGAAACCCATCATCAAACATTAAGACCTTTGCTTTAAATAATTTTATTGTAATGACTTCTAAAGAGTACAATTCGAACAAATACAGATTTTTTTTTGGGTGCCACAAGGCACCCAAAAAAAAAAGAATTAAATCATTTTTAAAAAATAGTCCCCACCTATGGGTATAAGGCCAAATATTCGACACTTTTCACAAAAATTTGAGTTCCTTTAGTCATGCATTTTTTTAAAACCAAAAACTTGTTAATAAAAGGTATCTCAAATTCTACTAAACTTGACAAAATAGCAATATATATATATATTTTGTAAAAAGAAACTTTTTTATTTACGTTAATAAGTGGTATTTGAGCCACGAGCTTTTTTTACTGCCCGGCATCTATCGGGCATACTTTCTACAAGCTTATGACACACTTCATCCCCCAACAACTTCCATTCCTGATGAAGTGCAACCTCCAATTCATTAAGATTTTGAAGCTGGGCTCTTCTTTTAGCAATCCTTTGTCCCAGGAGGCGCCAAAGGTTCTCAATCGGATTCAAATCGGGACTTTGAGCGGGCCATCGCTCAAAGCCTGCAATCCCAGCCTTCTCTTTCCACCACCTCGTATATCCTCCTGTATGGCATGGGGCACCGTCTTCTTGGAAAATAAAGTCATGACCATATTTCTCTGTCAATTGTTCAAGCCAAGGGAGAAAGTTTTGACTTAAACAATTGACATATTTTTCTTGATCGACAGACCCTTTTAGTGTCACCAAAGGGCCCAAACCGCCTGCCCAAAAACATCCCCATACCATCACTGATCCCTTACCAAATTTAAATGTTGGTAAAACAAATCTATCCATATACCTTTCACCCTTCTTTCTAATAACTCTCACACCACTGTCGTTGTGCCTGAGTGCGAATCGCGACTCATCGGACCAGATTACCTTCTTCCAGTCATCTAATGTCCAATTCATCTTGTCGTCGACCCATTCTCTTCGCGTTTTTTTATGTCTAAGACTCAAAAACGGTTTTTTGGAAGGTCTGCAAGAATAAAAACCGTTTTTGCGAAGTGCATTCCTCAATGTCGTCAGGCTGATTGGATCGGTAGCCTTCGCAAGATTTTGCATATGAACACTTAAAGGTTCAAAAGAGTCCCTTCGAACTAAAAGCGTCAGGTGATGCTCAGCTCTTGCTGTCAGCTTTGCTGGTCTTCCTGGACGAGGTTGGACAGTCGTGATCCCTTCAGTTCGATACTTTTTTATAATCGTAACAACGGTTGTTCTAGGAACGCCCAATTCTTTGCTGATTTGGGTACCTGTCCATTTGGCATGCTCTGCCAAACCGCAAATGACTCCACGATCGAAATCTGAAAGTTCCTTGCTTTTTCTAGAGACTTTGTTAGTAATGTCAGTAAGTGGCATGATAAATTGTGTAATAAAATATGAAAGAATCGTTGAACGAAGAAAGAGTAGGTTTATTTATTTTTTTGGCTCAAAACGGAAGTGTCGAATATTTTATGTGCGGAGTGTACAATTGTCTTTTTAATGCCTCGAATTCAGACTCTCGTTCAGCAAACGAAAGCTTCATATTAATCAAAAGAGACTCTGTTTCTTCCAACTGATCTGCCAACATGATATTTTGCTGTTTCAGCTTACGATTTTCAGCCAGCACTTGGTTCATTTGTTTATCATAGGCCAACGCCATGTTGCGCTGATACTGATCAAATTCCGCCTTGACCTGATTTAATTCGTGGCGCAAATGCTCTTTTTCATCTTCTGTACGAGCCATATCCATCTTGCTGCTAATAATTTGCTGTGTAATATCCTTGTTTTCTATCTGTAATACACTCAGCGAACTTTCGACGGATCGTATATGTTCTGATAGTTGACCGTTCACCCTTCGCAAGTTGTCTTCTTGTGACATACTTTTGGATTCACGGGCTTCTTCACCGGTATATTGTTGCGCAAGACGGGCCATAAACCTTGCAGGTAAATCGACTCTGTAAGTATCTTGTACAAAACCATCGCCATCCTCCTACAGCCAAGAAGAGTTGTTAGTATCTACCACACCACACTCGATTAAACATGATATTTACGGCAAACACGGTGAATATGCCGTTGCATAAGAACTCCACCAAGGATTCGAATCGCAGCTTTCTTGGTTACGAATAATCAATGCTAGCGCAATTTGCACTAGAATCTGTGTGCCTTCCACTAACAACAGATCAATGACTCGGAACGAGAGCTCGATAGGACATCGGTAGGAGAACAAGGTGATGAACCATTGTGAGACGTACATGGAGGGAGTGACACCTTCATTTTCCATATGACGATGGATGACCGGTAGCTTTTGTTGAAAGACGTTATCAAATTGATACATATGTTGATGTAGTACTTCCATGCGTGGTGTGAAATGCCCACGAAGACCGTATTTACCCATCAATTTAATCAAGACACAAAACGCATCACCTTCGGACATGTGCAGTAACAAACAACCAATGATAAAAGCTAAGCCCTGACAGTAGCCCACTTCCTGATCAAAGATACTATAGGCTTTCGCCACATTGAATAAGGATTGTCTGCCTGACTCCTGCATAAAATAAGGGTGATTGGGAAAGGTACGAGTAAGATCACGCTGTATTTGCTTCTCGAAAGGGCTGGCAGAAGTTCTTAGTATTTTGTATTCGGTATCCATATCAAAGCTGTCGCGTGATTTGGAAATGATTTGCCACATTAAGCCACGAATGGGCGAAGGGATACCACCCGCAATTAAGTGTTGTCGCATATCATCCATTTGAGTCTCGATGACACGGCCAAAGTTCTGAATTACCAGCACCCAAAAGTCTGGTTTTTTTTGTATCTGTTTTTAGCTCATGAATAAACCTGTAATGATGATATTTATCTTACCCCAGTCAATCTTATAATATACTACAATTCATACCTTTTTGCAACACGGAATTTAGACCCCGCTGAAAAATTTATTTCCGAGGGGGGTCTGGGGGGAGGGGCTTGACCCACCCCCAGGAACAAAGACCGGTAGATTGGCATTGAGTGTTAAAATGTTGATTGGCATTGAGTGTAAAAATGTGGGTTGGCATTGAGTGTAAAATTTTTGATTTGCATTGCGTATAAAAAATATTTATTAGATATGTATACTACAGCAACATAAGCAAACGGAATATCCGTATTATTTTCAGATAAAAGAACACTACTGAAAATGTTATTTATCCTGAATTACTCATCCACACCTAACTCCCATTAAATTTTATATCTTATCCAAAATCATCATTTTTTATCCCACCTTATATATTACAAATGAAGGCTATATTTATTAACTTTGAGTGCGTTTCAGACGCTGGCTCCGCTCACGAAGTGAGCGAGATGCCAGCTAGTACTATTGTACTCAAATCCACCTTTTTCCCGGTAGATTTGTAATTCAGCCAAGGCTTCATGTTTCAGTAACAGGTGCTTTTCCGAGTCATACTGATGGTCGTTATGAGAGAAGCGTCTGAACTTGGACACAAGTTTATCAAAGTTGCGATGATTACTTGCGGGAGAGCGAGGAGTACCTGTATGATTTGGTATCTCGGAGAACCTTTTACTCTGTCTTTGCTGAAACGACTGAGATGGGCGAGAGACCACTGTCACCGGAGATCCAATCGATGAGGTGACAGATGCAGGTCGAGTGGATTTAAAGGGATTAAAAATACTATGTCTCCTTTCGTTAGAAGAGCGACTGGTGGTGGTAACAGACCGCTGTCGCTCGGGTTTAGGGGAAGATGGGGATTTTAATATGGGTACGTTTGTTGTCAAGGAAAAGTTCTGTTTATGGTGGTCGTCATGAGGAGTTGCCAGGTTAGTATCGATGGAGTCATCGTCACTGGTGGTCTTTTGCTTTTCGTCAAAGTCGGAATCATCATCTGAAGAAGATTCATCGTCAGTACGCACCTGAATCTTAAAGCCAAAAGGTCGAGGTATTCCGACCGGTTGGGATTCAAGAGGGCATCATCCACAACATCCAGGTCGTATTCATTTAGCTCAAAGTTGTCATCTGAGCTGTCGCTATCGCTGTTGTATGGCTGGTCATAGAGTGTGGTCATTGTGTTATTCTTATAAAGGAGAGAAAAGAAAAGTTTTGTACCGCCCAGGATGGAAAATCAACTCACGTGGACCAACAATAAAGAAAAAAAAAAGGCTTTTTTAAAATTCCGTTTCTTTTTTTTTTTTTTTTTTTTTTTTTTTTTTGTTTGCTGCCCTGGGACCTATATTTTTTCCTTCCTCCATTCTTAAAGTCATCTTCATCATGTCTTCCTTACTTACGTTTCAGCTTCGTCAACAACAACAACAAAAGAATGGAGAAAACCAAAGTGGACTTCCTTCGCCACCCAACTCTTTCTGTGGGGATGAGACTTCTCAACCTTGTATTATAGTGGAACGTAGAAATTCGCTCCAGACAGTGTTTAATGATATGTCTATTAAAGACTATTCGACGTCTTTGCCAGAGAATTATACGATTGATCATTCTACTATCAAGAGAAGTTTGCATGCACCTATAGCTATAGCAACAGCTACAGCGGCTGCTACAGGCGGGCTTACGATTCGTAACCGTAGACAGAGTGAAGCAAATATAGGAGGTAGAAGAAAGAGTCGTGGTCTTTCCGAATCTTTTAATGGTCAGTATCGGTGTAACGATTGCGGAAAATCCTACAAACATCCAAATTGTTTACAAAAACACCGATGGGAACACTCTGAAGAGTGGGAAGTTACAAAGAAACTATCTTTAACTAAACACCAGCAAGTACAAATGCTTGAAGCTGCTGCTATTCTCATTGGTATGGATCGTAGATTAGAAGATAATTCCTTAAAAAATGAGCTACTTGGAGACGATATTGATGATGATGATGATGATGATGACGACGACGATATGGAAATTAAAATTGAAGAAAGAGATGAAGAAGACGAATCAATTGTTATAGATGATGATGACTTAGACTCTTTATCTGTTGTTTCTGATGCTTCTAGTATTTTTATGGAAGATCTTTGATACAAAATATATCAATATAATATACACATTATGTAAAACTGCTAAACAAATCTTCTCTCTTTTTTTTTTTTTTTTTTTTTTTTTTTATTATATCTTATTTTCCCTGTACATAATTAAACTCTTATAAAATTTACTCATTTTTTTTTATTATAATTATAATACGGATATTTAACAGCTCGTATTATAATCTACCCCTCTTTATTTGCCCCCTTGATGATGAACACAAACTGCAACCATATTGGTCATCTAGCTTAAAACAAGTTCATGCAGTGTGACTTTTTTTAATTTTAACTCAACGGATGACGTTGCAATTCTCAGTTTATATTTTGTGAGTTGGGAGTGTCTTCGACATTTTTATTTTCTTACAAATGACACTGGAGAGTTCCTCTTCGAAAATGACGACTGACAAAAAACCAGACTCTTCCACGTCATTAAATCTGTCAGACTTTTTATGGCAATCGCCTCTTATATACAACTGTCACTTTGATGAGTCTGCAAAGCAAGCCATCTTGTCACGATGCTATGAAACTTTATGGATGAACAACGAGTCGATAATGCATCAATATTTCTTCACTTCCAGACAAGACTTGCAAGAATCTCTCATTCATCAATCTCATTGTCATGATGGAAAAGAGCAAGGCATTGTCACAGATCCAACCTTATGGCACACTAACGCCATCTTACCAAATCAAGATCTATCCAGTCAAAAAGGTAGACAATGTGGCCATGTTTTTCGAAAAGGTGAGCCTGTGTATCGCTGCAGGTAAGCTACACTTATTTACTATTAATAATAAGCGACTAACTTTATCATTATTGACAGAAATTGTGGATTGGATGATACTTGCGTATTTTGTTCCAAGTGCTTTCATGCAACAAACCACGATGGTCATGATATCCTATTCTCTGTTAGTCCAGGATCCGGTGGATGCTGTGACTGTGGGGATCCAGAGGCATGGAAAGTGCCATTGCAATGTAAAATACATACCAGTGATAAATCAAACACTTATAATGATGAACCGGGTTCTGAAAGATCACCACTTAATCCCGAGTTAGTTACGGCTATTCGATCTACTATTGCATCCGTTCTCAACTTTTTATTGGATACATTTGCTTTAGCCCCCGATGAAGTAGCTTTAAACTCATCCACAGAGGATTTAGTGAGAGAAAATCAAGAACAACGAAACATCCTAAGTAGACTAGGTATTCCGTCCCAATTACCCAACGAAGAAGGAGATACGAATATGGAAAATATCATAGATTCTACTGCCGTTGAAGAAGATGTAGATATGGATAAAGAAAACTCCAGCAATAGAATCAGTCCAGTAAACACCTCAAAGGAAGATGATGGTGAATTATATGCATGTATTGCTTGGAACGATGAGGCTCATGCATTTTCTCATGTGCTGGAGTCAATCATGACCGCAACAGGCTGGGATTGGGAAAAGGCGAAGCAAATTGTCGATGTGATTCATGTTCATGGCAGAGAGATCATTGCTGTATCAAAAGATATCGCCGAACTTCGAAAGATCGCTGCACCACTATCTGCCATCAATCTTGGCGTCACAATCAGACCAGCTAAAGAGACTTTTAGAGAACAAGTATGTGGTTTATTAGTAGATTGGTTGAATGAATTAGTCAATGGTCGGAAACGATTTTTTGAAAATATCCATAATGGCGATGCTGTGATACGTAATATTTTATCCGAAGAGTTATGCGCTGAATGGGAGCTTCGATTACCCCTTGCTCTTTTAACCACAGGATTAAGAACAAATAACAATGCAAACGATGACGGGGACGACGAGGATGAAGATGATATGAAGGATGATATGGCAATGGCCACTTCAGATATCGCTGAAGATGTTGAAATGTTTGAACCAGATGCAGATGCAGATATCAATATCAATAGTAAACCAGAAAGTCCGGAATCTTTTGCTTCAAGTCCAATCATATACCGTAACCAATGTGATATTGCTAGCATTGATTGGGATCCCGCTGCGATGGTAAGAGAATATCAACAATTGAGAAATGCTGAAGTTGCATTCGGCGAGTCTTTAACGACCAGCGGATCCTACAAAAGTGCTTCTTCCGAAGGCAAAAAACCGGCTGTTTTAAACAAAGAAACTGCTTATTCTGCCATGGGCATGCAAAAAGAATTCGAAGAGAAGTTACGCTTAGATTACTTCATGTTATACGATCTCAAGTTATGGAAGGAAGTTCGCATTTCTTTACGGGAGTTATACATTTCCACTCTTGCTTCTAGTCCCCACTTCAAAAAGATCTTGGGTAAGCGTTTGGCAAGGAACTATGCCCGCTTAGCTGAATCCTTTTTACTACGTGATCGTGAGCCCGAAAATTCAATCATTTTATTTTCTGTTCAATTATTAACCGTACCTACTGTTTCTGATTTGCTTGTACACAACTACTATTTCTTCGGTCTCATTTGTTCTACACTAACTGCATTCTTCTTGACGGATCGATTATATCTTTTGTTACCTTCTGATCGTGCTAAATATCCATCTCGTATAAACTGTGAATCCCGTGCTTTCCGAACGCGTCGTTACTTTAATGCATTTCATGATTTGCGATATATCATGAATGTAGACATGATTAAACAAGTTCTTGCTCAAGATCCTTTGTACCTTCGTCAATACTTGGATCTTATCAGTCTTTTCCAGGGTATGAATGCCCAGGTGTGCCAAAAGGATACGCATGTCGAATACGAATCTGAAATCTGGGTAAACGCGTTTAACGTCACACTCCAAATCGCCAAATGCTGTCGACAATTCTCTGACTGTTTCTCCACCTTACCAAACACCACCAAACAAGACAAAATTGATACAGCCACTACAGTTGTTCGAGCTGTTTCACGTGTTTTGAAAAAGATTATGGATTGGGGAAAATTGGATCCCGAAGAAGAAGCCGCCGATAGGGCAAAACGTGCTGCTGCTCCTGCCGGTACGGCACCCCCTCAAAAAATTTATGGTGCCACGGCTCAAGTTTTCCATACTGTTACATTGCGCTACACAGAACCCTTTGAGGTCATTAAATATAACGTAGCTACACAACCTGTTTCTTTTCATCACCCTTTACACTGGCTTTTATCAGGTCTATTGGAATATGCTCACTTGCTGAATGACGATGTATTAAACGAAGCTGGCTGGGAAGGTGGTTTTAAGAAGATGATTACCATGTTCAGTGAGACAAATACTGCCTCCCCTGTTATTTTGTTGCCTATTCTGGATTACCCTGTTCGCACAATTGTCTTTTCTTCTCAGATTAGAGCCGGTGTTTGGGTCCGTAATGGTTATGGAATCAGAAATCAGGTAATACGATAAGTTTAAGTCAACCGGATTCATATTAACTATTTATTTATGTAGGCTCATCATTATCGCGATATTTCGCTTCGTGAAAACACTTATGATGCTGATGTGTTCTTACTACAATTAGGATTCGTCACTATCCAGCCCAACCGATTTTTGGCTACGCTATTAGATAGATTTGATCTTGTTTCATGGTTCCTGGGCAAGAACACCCACGACTATTACGATGCCTCACAAACAGTATTCATGGTGGAAGAAATCCTGAACTTATTGATTGTGATTGCATGCGAAAGAGCCAATGTTTCGGGCATGTCTATCTTGGACAAGATTCGTCGTGAAATTGTACATAATTTGTGTCTCGGGTCATCCGCCTATTCCGAATTGACCAAGCGTATCCCTGAACGTATTACAGAGCATCCTGAATTCGACCGTATTCTTGGTGAAGTTGCTAAATTTAAGGCACCTGATGGTGTGAATGACCATGGTTTGTACGAGCTTTTGGATCCTTACTTTAGTACTGTCGATACCTACTTTTGGCATTTCAGTCGCAACAATCGCGAGGAAGCCGAAACGATTCTTAAAGCAAGATGGAAGAAGGAAAACCCCGCTAGAAAGGAAGAAGAGTTCTTTATCTTGCCCAAACATAACCAAATTGCACCCGGACCTTTCCAATATCTCGGCGACTTTTTACAATCCACTGTGTTTGCTCAGTTGTTGTTCTACGCCATGTGGAATGTGCGTATGGGTGACAATCATAAGAGTGATACAATCTTGGATCAGACCCTTTATTTGTTGTTATTGGCTTTGACCGATGAAAACAATAGCATTGTGAATCAGGATGGTAGCGGTGGATTTATGCAACATGTGTGTGATAAACGATTCATGGTCGAATTGGCCTCAGCGCCCGGAGAAGAGGATGCACCTAAACAAACTCAAGAATTAACCCTATTCGATCTCATGGTTCTTCTTCAGAGCGAAGAACAGTATGATGAAGTTACTAGTCGTTTCATTTGGATCTTTGGACAATTGGAGTCCAAGGGACCTACCAAAACTCGCGAATTGGTTCAAGACTGGAAGGTAAAGAATGCCGTTCAAATGCGCGAAGATGCCATTAAACATGAAAATAATGGTGGTATTGTTGAGTTATCTGAAGTGGAAAAGAAAAAGTTGGCAGCTAAAGAACGACAAAAGAAAATCATGGCTCAGTTCGTACAAGCTCAGTCTCAATTCATGGAAAATAACGAAGACCTATATGATGACGACGATGATGATTTTGCTGATGCATCAGAAACTTTTGGTGCAGATAGTGAAGATGGCAGCAATCCTGAAAATTTACACCAGTTCTGCTCCTATCCTACTGGTACTTGTATCGTTTGTCAAGAGGATGTCAATGACCGCTCTTTACCTTACGGTCTTTTGGGCCTTATTCAAACATCCAATATTATGCGTGAGACCCCAATGGATGATAATTCACTTTTCAATGAAATTTACGCCATGGGTTCCAATCTTGACGTAGATTGGCAAGACCGACAATGTTTAGTAGATGATTCGGATAGCATTTCTGGTTTCCCAGCTCAGTTACACAAGACGGGTCTTTATGCCTCATCATGTGGTCATTTAATGCATATCAAATGCTTCGAAGTCTACTGTACATCCATCGACTCCAGGCACTCTGCACAACTTACACGTAATCATCCCGAAAATCGATCTAGAAGGGAATTTATGTGCCCTCTTTGTAAATCTTTGGGTAACATCTTATTGCCTGTTTTTTGGAAGGGTAAAAAAGAAAGTTTCCCAGGTGTGATTGCCAAAGCACATGATTCAGATTTCTCAGACTTTTATAAAACGGATGTCAATCAAATTGTTGGCAAGTTAAAGCATACTATTATAGCTGCCTCGCGCGCCGCACAAAGTAAAAAGCGAAGTTCAACAGCCACTGCTAGCCGTATGAAAGATGTTGTGGCACAACTTTTGCCTAGTTTACCAATAGGAGGTACTACATTCAACACTGGAGCCGCAATGACAACTGCCACACCTGCTGTACGTGACTGGGCTCCTATCACTTTACCTACTCGCCATCATGTCCCTACCACATTAGAGAACATGAATAATGATGGGATCGATGCACTACCTACATTGCAAGATACAACACCCAATATCACAGAACGGTTAAACAATGTAGAAGAAGATCCTGAAAACGATGAACATGATAGGTTATTACAAAATGCAATTAATTCAGGATCAGAGCCTCCTCCCGATGGTAAAATGGGCCCGTTTGAAAACGAGACCTTACACAGTTCGGCTGCATTAAGTGCTCCCTTTATCAAGAAATCATACACCCGTCTTCTGGATGTTCTTGGTATCATTTACCAGGAGATTTGTACAGACGAAAATGAGCGTGAAATGTCAACTGCTGCTAAAAATGTGGATATGCTTTGGGGTATTATGGGATATACTATTGCCGGTGTTGAAATTGCAGCCCGTGGTGCATCAAAAACGGTCGCTAAAGAACATATTATTACCAATACACTTTTCGACCAGATACCCCCTCAAACACAGATGCTGCTTCGTATCTTGAGTGATACTGTAATGGCTTATACCACCATGATGTGTCCTTCTGAATCGAAATCAACAGTTCCAAGTATTACTATGGCGCGGGTTAGTATGTTTTCTTTGGGTCGTATCCGACAAATGTTTGAGATCAGCATTGACGACGTCGCTAGTCTCTCTGCTGGCGGAACAGAAAAACTTGTGCTTTACGATAATGCTCCCATCTTGGAAGATGATCCATTTATGATCCTGACAGAATTGTCACTTCATATGGTACCATTGACCCAAGCTGATATATTCCCCTTCGTACGCACATTGCTTTTGGCTGAATTTGCAAAGACAGCAGTAGGTTTGTTGCAAGATAGATTAACCCGTGATTCCACCTCTCAACATCAAACTGCTGCCAGTGAACCATCGCAAGATATCGCTGCTGCCAAATCATTTGCTTATTCTCTTATGAACAAGTTAGGATTCACCAATGAACAAGCTCATGATTCATTTGAAAAGTTTGGCAGTGATGCATCCTTCTGTGCTTTACTCAAATTCTTTGTCTTGCCTTTCTTGCGTCGTACCTTAATCTTGATGATTGTTAGATTTGGCTTGATTATTCCCCCTATCACCGAAGCCGAAAATACTGAATCTGAACTCGATTGTTTATTGCGAGTTTTACATTTACCCAGTTTTTCAGACTTCTTACAACCAACACATATGACAGAGTCCTTGTTACATCATTGGTGCTCGCAGCATGTGCGTGAGTCGGAACGTCGCATTCAACTACAAGAAGGACGTGTCACAACATTTAATACACAGCAATTAATCAGTATATCTTTGGATTTGCCTACGCCTATTTATTTGGTGGCATTACCAAAGAGACTAGATCGTCTGTTTGATGAAAGCATGCGTCGTGTCTGTCAAAAATGTGGTACCGTGCCTAGCGATCCTGCATTATGTTTATTTTGCGGTACATTTGTTTGCGCCCAAAGTTTCTGTTGTGCTGAAGATGAGGAAGGTGAATGTAATTTACATACATTGGAGTAAGTAATGGTGTGTCTTTTTATATTAGCTGTTATTGACTTTTTCTTTTCAGATGTGGTGGAGAGATTGGTATATTTTTATCCGTTAAGCGATGCGTGTTAATATTATTGCATAACGGTAACGGTTGGTTCATCAATGCACCATATTTAGATCCTCATGGAGAGGTAGATCAAGGGCTCAGGTAAATTTTGAAAGAAAGGATGGCTTAAGAAACAATTAATTAACTATTACTATAGACACGGTAGACCTCAATATTTAAATGTTAAAAGATATGCTGAGATTAGAAAATTATGGTTACAGCACAATATCCCTATCTATGTAGCACGACAAATCGAAGCAAATTACGATATCGGTGGTTGGACTACCTTGTAAAATGATATATCATCCCCCCCACACACACACACACACTTTCTGTTATTTTAAGAAATATATTACTTGTTCTGAATTTTCAAACAGTAAGAAAAAATAAATTTATTTACATGATAACTACAATAAAGAAACAGACGAAATTACATGGCTTCACCAGCAACTTTAGCCATTAAGGGAGTAGCACAGGTATTAGAAGCCAAATGAAGCGAGGCGGAAGATAATCTACGAGAAGATTCAGATGTGAAAGGAGAAAGAGCTTCTCTAGCGTGAAGAATTCGTTTCGACAATCTGGAAACAGATTTATCTGTAGCCACAACTTCCCAAGCGAACTCAACATTGTAGGCAAGCTTTATACAATGCACTAAATGTCTGGATTCCATTTCACCCATACCAACGTATTCTTCATCCGCCGTAACAGGCATGACCTCGGTGTTATTATCCAATATATCTTGAACAAACTTCAATACTGTCTTTTGTGTAGTCTCCATATTGATAACGGAAGGAGCAACAGGAGCCTTAACTTCGAATGGTACGGAGTGGGCCATAACGTTATGCTTATTGTCGTGATGATATCTGAATTCATAAGTACCGGCCTTCCAAGGTAACTTGGATCCACTGAATACAACGCAGCCTTCGGTAAGAAGAGGAGTTTCGGGTGGGAAAACAATATCATCGGATTCTGTGCTTTTGGCGGCGTTAACCCAATGCCATAAGCCACGAGAACTGATATTGGTAATATGTTTACTCTTGTTTGCTTTTAATTCAAAAATGCCGATCCAATCTTCAGCTCCATGATAATCAGGAGCTTTCCATTCAACTTTGATTTCTTTGCCCATTTCAAACACATTGTCATTGATTTTGAGTGAATAACGAGATAAATCAAACATTTCAATATCAGTCGCAACCAAAGGAATAACTCTTGATCGAGAAGCTTCTAATAATTGTTTTGTTTCGGAAAGTACCTCTTGTAAACGAGGACGAGCTGAGCAATAAATAATAATAAAAATTAGATGCATATAAAAACAAATAAACTTTTTTTTTTTTTGTTACCTGCATCCATCATGCTATCTATGGTTCCTTTTGTATCTTCAACAGCCTTTTCGACCTTCTCAACAGCATCCTTTACAATACGTTCGACACTCTTAGTACTATCATTATTTTCACGGATTAATTTCGCAATTTCTTGTTGAAGTTTTTCGGGAATAGTCTTGGGAAGTGCAATAGCAGCAGATTTTAAAGTCTTTGTTAAACCAGCCTCTTTACGAATTTGGTCGCCGTACAACTTGCGCATATGAGGGCTTTTGAAACACGTTAAAAGTTAGATGTGCTGTATTATACTTATTTTATGTGCGATTGGTTACCTTTCAACATAATGGAGGAACAAAACGTTAAGTATTTGAGAGAAGATGGCCAAAGCAAAAATTGTACCGTTATTGGCAATTAATGTCATACCCCAGAAAGCAGCATGACCCATGATTTTTTCAGGGTTATTCAAGAATCTGGAATACAAGTGTAAGTTTTTAAGAAAGGTGGGTGATGTAAAGTATTATGATGTTTTTGCTTACCTGTAAATACCAGTGTACAATAATTCAGATGGATGCTCATCCATAAAGAAATCACCATAGAACCTATTGAAAACCAATTAATTTAAAAAATTCCCTCAAACAATGCAAAGATTATCTCCTTACCATCCAAAGTCACCAATAACTTCATAAATAGAAACAGAGGTCCAGATATGCAGCGAGATAAATGTCAAACCGAGAACGTGGCGAAGTAAAGTAGTGCCGTAAGTCCAGTTATCAGGCAAGGTATAAGTTTTCCAGCAGGCGATGAAGAAGGTGACATATGTCATACAAAGAGTGAGATTGTAAGCACTACATAATTATGTTAAGGGTTAAATCACTAGAATAAACAAACTTTTTTTTTCTTTCCAAAAAAAAAAAAAAAGGTACCTTTTCCAATTTTGAAATGCCTCTTGTACACCACCACCCCATTTGATGAAATGACGGGTAAAGAACTTATTGTTGGATTGAGATTGAAGAATAGCACCTGTGCCCAATGAATGAATGGCACGCCAGAAAAATGCCTGGGCAATAGCAATAAGGATACCAGTTTTACCAGGAACCAAAAGTGGTGTGATAATGGCATAAATCATAATCATGGCAGCGACAAGGTCAGTTGATCTAAACAGATCAAAGTTCTTGAACACAATCAAATCACGACGGAAATAACTAGAGTAAAACTCAGCACCGGCCTTTTGGTCAAGTGGGTTGTTTGTGGAAACAGCAGTTTGACGCTTGATGGTTGCGGGAGGATTATAAATCTTATCAATGTCTATTTTTGGGAGGGTGAGTACTTTTTTAATGCAAAAGTGGGGGTACTAAAAACTTACGAGGAGTTTCAACCAAAATAAGAAATGCGAATTGAAGAGCATGAGCAGCGATACTACCAAACAAAACGGTATAACTCGCACACATGAGCGAAATACCATAATAACCAAAGTATCCGATGGAATACATGGGATGAGGTGCCATTTCGAATACGCCATCAAAGGTCAAGGATTGCTCGATTAAAAAGAAGAAATCACCCCAATCTAGACATATATATATATAAACGTTATTATAAATTACAAAGTTACACTAATGATTGACTTACACCAAGCGAAATCTTTTACGACTCTTTGTGCGTCAATCTTAACCCAAATATTAAACGCAATCAAAAACAAACCACCACACCATCTCAAAGTATCGCCCAAAAAGATTGAAGATTGAGGAGACGTGTTGAACCAAGAAAGCGCAAAGCACAGATAGGTAGTGAAATCATTCATCAGAATGAGATCTACTAATTGTCTGTACAACATCCAGGTATTATATTCAATCGGAGCAGTCTAACATAAATAAATAGTTAGTTTATAAACAAGGTATATTTATAAAAAAATTCTCACAGCAAAATCATAGTCATCGCCCATTTTAATGCTCAATTGACGTTGAAGCCAGTGATAAGCAGTAGGGTTAGCCTCGCGATCAAAGATTTGATATTTCTTTGCTAGGCGAACCAGACCACGACTGTCACTTTGGTACTTGAGTAAATAACCAAGGCCGACATTATAAGCCAGACGCCAGAAAAAGAAAACAAACAAGAACAAAATTCGTTTAGCCCAGACGGGTAATACAAAGAACAGACCAATTTCGATAGCCATAGTGCCCAATGTAATCCAGTCAAAGATGCCCTTCTTTGTCTTGGGATTCAGCAAATGTGCTACCATTTCGCGGGTAAGGGGTACTCGAAAGACTTGTTTGTTTATGGCGTTAGTTTGGGAGTTAAATCCGAGAATCATCATTTAGAAAAATTACCTTTTCCGTCAGGTGTCTTTCCGTAAGAGTATCGCATATCCTTTTTAATGTCGCCATGGTAATCATCATTTAAAGAGGACATTGACATCGTATCACTGCTTGTATCATCCTCGACCGTAGTCTTCAAATCTCGATGACGCAACTCTGATTCCATTTTTAAGGAGGAGTTTTTTTTCTTTTTTGTTGAAAAAAAAAAAATATAGAGTAAGGAAGAAAAAAGAACTGGTTTATTTCTTTCAGGAACATATAATTTACTACCGCACGTGAAATTAGCAGTCAACTGGAGCGGGTGGGGCAAAAGATTAAAAAAAGACCTCACGCATTACATACTTCCCGTCACACCATACAACCAATCAACCCTAAACAAGTTTTTTAGGTTTTTTTATTGTACTGTGAAAATATGCGGACCGCCAAACATGGTGCTAGATGAACCGAATATATGAATTGGTATTTGACAATCAAAATTACTTGCTTGGATTTGATCATGACTTTCACTTTGGTTATGATTTCTATCTTGCACAAGTCCAAATGAAGCCTGCTCAGTAACAATAAATTCCACTTTAAGGTAATACTGCAATTTCACTGTTAAATCAGATGTAAGATTACTTAAATAAACAAACAATAAACATTGAAATTTCTTTTAGCTTACTTCCAGTCGTTTGAAATTCGGGCGATTCTGAAGCTGGCACTGCCAGCGAAAAGGTTGTGCGCGTATCGTTTCTACAAAAAGCGTAATGACCTGCGTGTCGCTTTCGCGAGACTTTCGTGATGTAATTCGCTGGTCGTTGGGCTATACTTGTGTCGACAATCTCATGACTCTCTAATAAAACAGACATCTATTTAACATAAGTATCATGTGATTTTTTTTTTTTTTTTACAGCAGTGGCATAGACATAAAGATTTGGAGTTACCTGAAATGTTGGTAGAACAGCACCCTCGAAATCGATAATGCCATGTACTGGTTCTCCCAGTCGATAGAGCGTTTTTAAAAGATGAAGCTGGGCCACACGTTGGTTATTCTTACAGATATCAAACGTTGCTAAATATTTTTTTTTAGAAGTGCCTGACTTTCACTTTATATAATATGTTTTATACCTTTTGTATTGATGTTTGTAATCCGGGAAATAGTTTGACGGCATGATGTTTTATCTTCCCTGGTTTCTTGTTCATATAAATCATTTTCCCGTTGCATGATTTTATAAACTGGTTTATGAGATGCTGTCTTTTCAATCAACCCATCAATATAATTCATAAACCCCTGGCGAGCATCCACTATCACGGGGGGAAATATCAGTTGCCACGCGGGTTTAAAAAAAAAGGGAAACCAATCAACTTACTTTGGTTCGGTATGGAGCCGTCGAGCTTATTTTTCGTAGCATTATTACCAAAGCGGGACGGAGCTTTTAGGTCAATTTTTGTTACAATTGCCTGGTCTGTGTAATAAATCTCGGGACTCATCAAGTCATAAATCGGCCTATTTCCGTCCTCTGTAGTATAAAATATAAATATATATCATACACTGTTTTATTGATTCTGCTTACCTGATACGTGATTGAATACACGGAAAGGAATTTGTACCACTTGACCCTGTGCACCAACCGTTTTTAAGCAAGAAGACCTTTGTGAGCCGATCACAAGATAGTAATTAAATCTCATGGCTTTCCCTCTGTATGTAGGCGGTAAATTTTTTGGTAGCTTAAGTTGGTACGAATCTAATGTATAGGCTGTAGAGTCAGTACCCAATTAGCCGTTGTAAAATAACGGTCTTACATTTGACGGTTTCCCCAGGCGATAAATTTAGATCTACGAATAAAATACTCGGTGGTGTAGAGAACACTGGCGTTGTTCGTGCCTCTAAATACGATTATTGCTTACGCCATTAATACAAATTACCTTATACTTATCTTTCTACAAACCTTTCTTTAACGATGATGTTGTTAATGTACCCCCTCCAGATGATGCACCGAAAGGGTGGTACATGGCTTTTGATTTTAATGGTGTAAACGCATTAGTATCTACTAGTGTTGGATCCGAAACAAATTGTCCAATCACTTGTGCCGATCCCCATAACAAGTGTTCGTTGCGATAGGCAGTAAACGATTTTGCTCGGGTAGAGGATAATCGATGTAGACGTGGATGACGCGGAACACTGGATATGGTAGAATCTATTGAGCTCCTTCTACTTGTTGTGTATCTTGTATCTATACTTGATCTTGGTGTTTCCTCATGTTCTAATTCAATAGTCGTATCTGAAGGTAAATTATCAAGTACGGATTCTATTAAATTTTGGCTCAATTATTTTTTCATGGATCGTAGGTTTAGCATTATTAATTTAATTTTGTACCTGTTAAATCCTTCCATTCTCTTGTATCAGCTATGGATTCGGGATCTTTCGTAGACCCAGTTAAATACGAAAATGTGGACGAGGCGAGTGAAGACAGAGACATTTTACGCGAGGACGAACTAGTCATAGGCATACTCTCAACCTCTAACGTAGGCAGCCGATTAGGAACGGCATTAGGTTGTGTCCTGTTTAAATCGAAGGAAGGAAGCGATTGTGCTCTTTGGTGATTTGTCTTTGTAGTTTCTCTGACGGAATGTGTGAATGATATTGTACAGGACACTGTTTCGCCAGCGTAAAAGATAGCGTCCTGAGAAAAAGAGGTGGTAACTAGTAATGATGAGCATATATTTAAAAAGAATTAAAAAGCATCGTGATTCTTACACACCAATAACACTCATACGACCGGAATACAGAATTAGGAAGGAAGAAAGGGCTTTAGTATAAATATAAACAAGAAAAGGGACGCTTGTAAGCGCGCGTCATCCTGTAGGACAAGAAATAACACTTTATTATGTACATTGAGAGAATATATAATTCTATATTAAGAAGAAGCAGGTTTTCTACCGTACACCCATCTAATATTTAAAAATGTCTGATATTCGACACATTCATCAAACGCACTGTCTAATAATGCATCGTAAGCTTCTTCATTGAACTCATCCCCTAAATCTAAATAGCCGAAAATACTGGGGCCCAGATGTTTGAAGAATACAAGCAAATCCTATTAATTATCTTTAGCTAATTGGGTGGGAATGACTTTTATCTTTCTTAACAAACCTCGTACACTAACTTTCCGACGTAGCCACCCCAGCAGACAGGCGCAGAGCCATAGTCTGTAGTAACGTCTAGTAATCCATTTTGATCCATTTTTCTCGCAATAGAACTTCCTGTAAGCAGACGACCCAGTCTATCCGTCATAAGCGCCCTGACTAAATATATTAAATTAAATTTGGTTGCAACATCATTCAGAAGAAAAAGAAAACCTACGTGCAACAAAAACTTTAGCAAAGATCGGACCAGCACGTTTTGGAGCAGAGTCAAGTTCCACCAGCTCGATCCAACCGTTATCCTTTGTCAAACGTAACATTTCGGCAAACATCCACGATACTTTATCACCGGGATAAACTATCTGCATCATTCTTTGATGAACAAAATCAAAAGATTTATCTGGGAAGGAAAACCCATCAAATACATCCAATTTCACTAATTGACAATTGGCGGGTATATGTCCTATCGAATCTGTGTCTGTTTCAAGCGTAAATGGTTGGATAATGTCGATGCCTGTAAATTTACAATTTGGGAAATCATTGGCCATGTCTAAATCCCATATGTAAGTTAGTGCCCGGGTTCTGAACTAGAATATTCTGTGTTTTTACCTAAAAGCCAAGAGGCATGAACACCACAACCAATATCAAGCACTTTGGAATCTTCTTTTGTTAATATCTCGTTCACTGGTGCAAAGTGACTTGTTTGAAAAACGTGTTTTAATAAATAATGCTCGCCCTGTTGTCGGCCTGCTTCTGACGTTGTGTGTGGAAAGACTTCTTGTGCATATTTGGAAACGCAAGATGACAATGCTGACCCATTGTTGAAACTGTCTGAGGTATATTTCGTTGAAGTACTTGCACTTTTACTGTCAACACATTTCTTCCTTTTCGAAAGTTGATTTCCCATTTAAACAATGACAAATATATATGAAAAAAAAAAAAGGCCAAAAAGAAAAAAAAGAACGGGAACTACCCATTTTTAATCTTTTTGTTTTCGTTGTTACACTTATTTTTTTAAGCCAGCTACTTTCATTTTTCACCACCGCAGATTTTTTCAGTGCCATGGAGGATGGAAAATCGCCTTACAAGGAATGACAGTGTAACAGCTTATTTTTAAAAAACCTATTTTTGAAATACAAAAACTGGGATTACAATAATGGCAGGCAATCAGGTGTTCCTACAGGCCTTCTATCATGTCGATTGTCAAGTCTGCGGGGACCACCCCATTTAGATTTTCATCCATGAACTCAATTAGGCCTTTTGAAATTTAAAAGCTAGGTGGATTATCAGGATTTTAATTAGGAGGGTTGATTGATGGCTATAAAACATGCTGTTACTTGACACGGGCGATGATCAAGTATTGAGATGAACATCATAATCGCAATTATACCCATATGTTGCGAACCAATTCATCTATCAAGATCGTCGTCGACAGAAAATAAAATGAAGAATACGTAATCACTTTATGGTCTTATCTCTAATTAATAAGAATGGTTAATAATGATGTCAAAGCTTTTTCAAAAAAAAATTGATGGATCTTGTGTAAGTGCCAAAGGAAGAGATCTATGAACGGCTCAAATTTCCCGTAGATTCGGCGATGATAATTATGCCTGGATCAAGAATTTTTCCGAAAAAGTTTCTAAATTGTGTGTTTTGTAAGCGGTAGTAATACCATCAATAATATCGACAAGAAAGCCTGTAGTCACTAACAGGACAGGTTTTTATTTTGTTATTGTTGCATTAAACAAATGAGTCAACTGAAATCGATACTACTGAGTTCAACCCTTCTAATGAAGCGCTTAATAAGTTAAATAAGGATAGAGTAATAGAATTGTAAACACATACACTTATAAAATTATTTCATGCTTTTCCCAAATGACGGTCTCTTAAATTAACTTATGAAAAGCATCTTTGGACATTGTGTTTTCGTGTAACGCATTCGCGTGTTTTATGAATGTCTCGGTTGCACATTCACATTTTATTGTATTTTTTCTTTTTCATTAACCAATTACAGACATTTTGTAGAACACCGGGACGTTATTAGCCGCTGGCCGAATTCATTATTATAAAGTAACTTTGTGTTAGTTGGAATAATGCATACAGTTCATTTGTTATCCTTGTTGATACTATGCACATCTCTGACTCTACAAACAAGAAACAGACAATGATTTATAGTCTGAAGGTTTGTTTCTGTTTTTATTCAATAACCTACCAAATCCTATAAAGTATCTTGATGTCTTACTGACAGGGCCTAAGGCGTCTTTCCTACTTTATAGCTTAACTAATAAATAGTTTAATTTTATTGAATCGTATTTTTATAAAACCTGAATATGGTGAAAACTCAGGTATCGGTTACAGTTTGCTCTTCCACGTCAAAATAAAGAGTGTCGACAGCAATAAGAACCTATTGTATTGAACAATATGTAACCCACACATGTGGACATATTATAAATATTTAGATGCGATAAGACGGTCGATGCAAAAAAATAAAAACCATTGAAGATCTTACTGAATAAGGGTAAATCAAGAAGTGAATTATTCCAGTCAGAATTTACAATTTTGAAATACCCATTAGGCATCAAGTCTTTTTTTAAAAAAGCATTGCCCTGAATATCTGTCTCTATTCATCAATATTGTGCAAGACTTTTCATGCAAAAATGGTTTTGAGTTGATCTTTCATTATCAATATTTTAAAAGTAGATGATGGTTTCATATACTACTCTAACCGTCTGCTTTTCAAATTAAAATATAATTATATATATATATATATATATATATATCTTTGTATATGCTTCCCGTAGTTAAAAAAACGAGTTCTACAAAAGAGACCCTTATTATTCTCATACAGTGCCTTAGGGGTTGTAACAAATACACACCGTTAGAAATGGCGAAGCTAGGGGTTAACATTTGCATGCATTGCAGAATTTTTCTGTCATCTTATTTCATCACCTCCAAAAGTAGGTGGTATTCGTTTGTATCAACAATAATAATTTAGACATCACTCATTATCCAATACTTGACATCACAATAATAAAAAAACGGTCATCATCAATCAAGCGGACAACTTAAAAACGAATTATTTTCTTTGTATTAAGATAAGTGTTTCTTACGGATACTAACTTTAAAAAGGCAATTGTTTTTTTATAAATACGCTCTTTTAATCAGACCAACCATGCATATTCATAACTTAACGCGCATTCGTTAAAAGTAGTGATTTCCATTGAAATCTGAATATGTATGGGCTATCAAGATCACTAATGTAACCATTCATCAAAGAATTGTTGCTGTTTAAAAAAAGATCAATACCTATAATAAGGTCATGCGTAGACGAATGATGGTATCATCCCTTTAAATAGATAATAGCAGAGAGGCGCATTCCTACCCGGGTGCTAAATTGTGTTGTGATTTACATAAGGGGTTTGCCTAAAAATCCCTTCCAAAGAAGCGGATGATATTATTTAAGCAAATAACAGAAAATCTCTCTGGAACAAATTGTTTAGTAATAAACCATTTTATTTGCTACATCCGTTAAATATTGTTTCCCAAAGTGCTGGGGTCGAAGGAGAGCAGTTAATATGTAGGTTAAATACAGATACTATTTTACATTTTATTGTACAATCAACATGTCTGTTGTTAGGAATCGTACTGCTTCAATGGCCCTTAAATGACAAAAGGCGTTTTTTTTGGGGGTGCTTTTTGAAGTATACTGAAATATTCCAAGAAATAAACGGTTAAATTATTTGAGACTAAACTAGATATCTTTTTATTAAATGGAAAAGGGGATCCTTTTTATAAGGAAGGATTGAAATAGATTGTTATCCGGGAAGATCAGATGGGAGCGTGGATTGGAAGGAGACATTAATATCTTGATCAGTTAATGGTTTATGTTTCAGTGCTGGGTTGCTATTAAATGTCAAGTAGATTATAGGCTGGATATATAGTGTGTATATATCATTACCTCCCCCCAAATTGGAGCAGCATTTTTTGATTGTAAAGGATATGAGAGAAAAATGGTGAGAACCGATTTTGTAATCCTGAAATGCAGAAGGGTTGTACTCGATAGATATGATTGTAGCCGGGATAACATGAAGTGAAGAGAAGGGGAAAAAGTTCCGTTTAAATCAAGAAACAAATCTTGAAAAAAATAGAAAAAGAAAAAAAAATTGTGGTAAAGTGTAAAAAAGAAATGGGGAAGGGGCAAAGTATACGATGTATCAGAAAAACCTTAAAAACCTCCAAGAGGGAAAAAAATAAAAAAGGGAAAAAGATACATCACTTTGAGTGTCTAACTATTGTTGGCTGCACGTCGTTGATGACGGCGAGATTTGTGTAAATTGTACCTTTCTTGGCGAGAAGTTGTGTGATTGATTGGAATGACTTGTGTTGAAGTGCTATGGTCAACATTGGTAGTGTGATGTGTATTATTGCGAGCTCGCTTATGATCGTAGCGTTCTTGACGATTAGGAATATGTCGCATATTTACAGTCTGAGGCAATCGAATATTTCCTGAAGAGGTAATGGCCTGACGACGTGCCCAGTAGCGTTCGATGTGTAATTTGTCAGGAAAATGGTGTGCAGGTTCCCATGTATCTTCCTCGTCGGATTGATCTTTCCATCGTACAAGGTACATATAATTAGTAGGATTGGTTCCTTTGTGGTTGATAATACTTTGAACTTCTTGGAAGTCGGTATCATCCTCTTCGAAATCCGTTGTGGTACTATTGACTTTAAGAAGTTTAATATGGGATGTAGGGACGTCACGAGAGAGGAGATTATTGGCTTGATCGACTAGGACGTAGGAACCATTGGTGGTGTAGTTACGGATAGTGAAAGGACCGATGAAATTAGGATCGGTTTTGCCTGTTTTCATGACATTTCGTATCATGACCTGTCGACCAATAGGAAATTTCTTGTGAATGATATGATGATGTTTGAGGAATCGTGCATTGTCTTTTTCCTGTGTCAATTGTATACGTTTTGATAAAGCAGGAATAAGGAATTCGTTAACTTTGTGATATTGAGCAGAAACAAGTTCAGGAGTAATGACTGAATTATCCCAGTTAGGGTCAACGTTAGTGTAATTTTCGAAATCATTAGCTCGTCGATTGAACATAACCGCAAAGGGTGTAGAGTGGTGTAAACGAGAGACCTTGAGATTCATCTCTAACTGTGTGGCGTCAAGGAGAGTGTCCCATTGCTGTTTCGCGCCTTGTAGCTTTTTGATTAAAGTACGTTTAGTGATATGTACGAAACTTTCATTGGTACCGTTGGAGTTAGGTGTGTATGCTAAACTAAGACGATGGTCAATGCCCAATTGTTGAGTCATTTGAGCTACTAATTGGTTGGTAAACTCGAGGCCGCGATCTGTCTGGAGAACTTTGACCACACCAAATAAGGCAAAGATGCTTTTGAGTTCGTTAGCGATGGTAGATGCTTCCTTGTCAGGCAAGGCACGGAGGATCGTGAAACGTGTGAACAGATCGACATAGACCATGATGAAGTTATTGCCGGCGTCGGATGTGATATTAAGTGTACCTAAATCACAGACCGCATGATGGCCTGGCGCAGTGGGTAAGATCTGTTTAGGAGGATGGTATCCGGTTTTCGACCAATTGAAGGCAAGGCAAGTTAGGCATTCACCTACAACTTCGATGATGTCTTTTCGTAAGTTCACCCAGTTAATATGTTCGTCGCGTATGGCGGATTCGATAGCATTGATGCCAAAATGTCCCTTGAGATGGTGACGTTCGATGATAGCACGACGTTGATCAGGTGGAGGCACCATGGGGTCGGCTAGTTCCGATGCGCGTTGTACAAGAATGCGACTGGATTCGTTGTCGTCGTGTGACGTAGAAGAAAATTGGGTGGATTTCTCTACCGCCCCCCTCTGTTTTGTGTGTTGTTGTTTGTTAAATAACTTAGCTTGTTTAGCTTCAGCGTGATTGTCCATCTGACGTTCAACTTCTGGGGAAGCGAATAGACGACTGAGCATGTCAGCAAGATAATTTTCGGAACCTCGAATGTAGACGATTTCAAAATTCTTAGAGTAGATGGTGGTGTACCAGTTCTGAAGTAGAGGTGAACAGTATCGTTGAGAATGAAGGAACGTGAGGCTGTAATGGTCCGTGAAGAGGAGAAAGGGAGTTAAATGTAGCCATGAGTGATAGCGTTGAAACATGTAGGCGATGGCGAGGCATTCAGATTTATTGACGCTGTAGTTACGTTCACTAGCTGTTTTGGACCGTGAAGCGAAACCGAGGAAGCGAACAATATTCTGTCGATCAAGCTGCCATACGAAGCCACCAATAGCATAGTTACTAGCATCCGTGTTGACACGCAGGGGTAAGGATGTATCCATGACTGAAATGACCGGAGCATGTGTGATAGCATATTTTAAAGCGGTGTAGGCTGAGTCGTGAGTGGAGTTCCATGTCTGTGCAAAGATCCGTTTGTCACTAATGCTACGAAGCTTATCCAATGGAGCGGATATGGAAGCGTAATTAGGAATGTGTCGTCGAAAAAAGTTAAACAATCCAAGTACTCGCATAAGAGCTTTGTTGTTGGTAATCGGTGGAAGTTGATCCAGGTTACAAATTTTACTGCTGTCGATCTGGAGACCTTTGGAACTGAGACGGAAGCCCAGCAAGGTTAAAGATGTGAGGAGAAAATGGCATTTTTTGGATTGTAGAATTAGACCTGCTTGATTCAGTCGAGTAATGACCTCTTTGACGAGAGTGGCGTGTGCGACTAGATCAGTTGTGTGGGTACCGATTGTGATATCGTCAATGTAGGCAAAGACTGTAGGCAAATCACGAAAGAGATTGGAAATAATGCGCTGAACAAATGATGGTACTGTCTTTATGCCGAAACAACATTTTCGAAAGACGTATTGTCCCGTGTGTGTGGTGAAGGCTGTGAATGGCTGGGATTCTTTAGCAATGGCAAAACGAGTAAAGCAGCTTTTTAAATCAAGAACTGTAAAAATGGAGCAATGTGATAATTGTTCATGGATCTCATCTATGCGAGGTAAGCTGAACGCATCAGATTTAGAAGCGATGAGATGTTGATTGAGGAATCGCATGTCGGCACAGATTCTGACTTCAGAGCCGTAATTACCTGCAATGTCTCGCTTCTTTGCGAAAAGAATGGGATTATTATGAGGTGTGTTAGCGTCGGCTAAAGTAATAGTTTCTTCCTCGAGCCAAGCCTCAATTTGTTCGTTTAGTTTAGACTTATAGGCTAAGGGTAATGGATATTGTTTACGGAAGATGACTGTGTTCTCAGGGAAATGGAGTGTAACTTCCGAGTTAGGTACTGTACAAACCGATTTAGGATCGATGGAAGCATTAGAATGTAATACGATCTCCAGTGATTGTAAGAATGTGGATCGTTCTGTGATAGAACCGTAATATTCGTATGTAGGTGTGTTGGGTAATGGGTCAATAGGGTCCTCGATTGTAGGTAAACTATTTTCGTCCCATGTAGTAGTGAGCCCAGTGATGTTAATGTTCATTTTAGACATAAGGTCGGTACCAATGCAAACATCAGCTTCACTATTCAGATTAAAAACTTCGAAGGTATGATGGATGTTAAGATTATTATAGAATAGATGAACATTGTCAATAAAACCAATACGCTCGATGGAGCTATTAGCATCGCCCAAAGAAATAGTATGACTTTTAGATTGTGACAAAGATGTCGTATGTGGTATAATAAGTTTTGGTAAGGAGGGTGTCATGCCCAATTTGGAAGCTAAAGAAGGCTTTAGAGAGGAGAAATTGGAGCCAGAGTCGACGTAGGCCCAACATTTATAGCCCTGAATAGTGACAGGAATAATGATAGAATTTGTAGAATCGTTGAGAGGAGCAGGCTCATCATTAATGGTAATGTTAGACTTATTGTGGACTAATTGGGGAGATGAAACGTCCTCGTCTTGGACGAAAGGAGACGTAAGAGTGTGAGCTTCGTCAATGTGGCTCCTGGGAGGCGAACGTTGAGAGGAAGGATGTTGATGAACATCAAATTGATTATTTTTTATGTGCATGGCACGTTGTGTAAGTTCCTGCATGTGAGGAGCAGTGATAGCTGATTCAGGAGCACCAGAATCGTACCAGCAATACAAAGCGCTTTGGGAATCATTAGCACCAATTGCTGTAGACATACAGTCTTTCATCTCCGTATCGCCTTGGTCAGATATGTCTTGAAGCCTTCCGGTGGCAGGGTTTATCAGAGAAGTAGCAGGAGCAAGAGCAGGGGTACAATAGGTAGTGGAAACAGTAGGGTCGGTTGTAGACATAAAAAAAAAAATTAATAAAAAGATAACTTATAAGAATTCAAATAAAAAAATGAAATATTCCAAGAAATAAACGGTTAAATTATTTGAGACTAAACTAGATATCTTTTTATTAAATGGAAAAGGGGATCCTTTTTATAAGGAAGGATTGAAATAGATTGTTATCCGGGAAGATCAGATGGGAGCGTGGATTGGAAGGAGACATTAATATCTTGATCAGTTAATGGTTTATGTTTCAGTGCTGGGTTGCTATTAAATGTCAAGTAGATTATAGGCTGGATATATAGTGTGTATATATCATATACATTCAACGAGATGTATGATACTACAAAGTTTTCCATGCTTAATAATTCGAGCAGTAGCTGTATAGTACGAATTGTAAATATATATTAGAAGGGTATTGAAAAAGAGATGAATATAGGTCGTTATATTGCAGTGCTTTTTTATTCTGTTTGTACCGAAATTACTCCAGATGAATTGCATATTTTTCTGTACAGCAAAATTTAAATAGAATAACAATTTTTCTTATTAAAGATGTCAATGTGATGTTTTATTGAGACTTCAAGGAGAATGTGGGGGATATAAATCTAATCACAAATCAGGTAACAGCACGTAGATGTTAACCAGAAAAAAAAAACTAAACAGTAACAGAAGATTCAGGTACCGTATTGACAATAAAGTGCGGCAGAGCATAAAATGACGTGTCAATCCCCAGAGGGAGGCAATTTAAATCTTTTTTATTTTTCTTGCTTTTAATTATTTTAACCGTTTGTTTTTTTAACCATCTTGTTAAAACGTAAAAGATGTTTGCAGAATTACGTAGAATGAATGTGCGACAGGTAAAATACACAAGTCGAAAGAAAAATACAAAATAAACACCATTTAAAAAAATGCATTGACTTGTAAACATGACTAATAAAGAAAAATAACGCGCGCGCACACCCAGGTCGCCTTACAATTTTTGAACATCTTGACGATTGCCGCATCTGCTCTCATGATTTGGAAAGGCATTGCTGTTGTCACTAACACGGAAAGTCCTATTGTTGTTGTCCTCAGGTAAAAAAAAAAAAAAAAAAATTAAAACAAAGAAAAGGGGGCATATAGTGTAATAACTCATACATTATTAAATCAGTGGAAGTATGGAGCCAGCTTTTCAACGTGGCGACTTGTTATTTTTAACTTTACCTAAAAATGATCCTGTGGAAATTAATGATATTTGTGTATTCAAGTTACCGGGAAGACCTATTCCCATTGTCCATAGAGTTGTCAAGATTCACGAAGAGTAAGCTAACATAAACACACACTCACACTCACACAAAAATGGTTACTCAAATTGAAAGAATTCATTTAGCGCCAATACAAAGAAGGAGTACATTTTAACAAAGGGTGACAATAATTCCAGAGACGATCGCGTGTTATATGATAAGAGACAGATGTGGATCCATCGAGAGAATGTAGTTGGCAAAGTTAAAGGGTAAAACTTATAATTCAAAAGTGATTTTCCTTGTACAATTGCATGTGTTGATAAACATTTTCATAGATTTATGCCTTATGTTGGCATGGTTACCATTTTAATGAATGATTATCCTTGGATGAAATTTGCATTATTAGGCGTCCTTGGATTATTCGTACTTATTCATAGAGAATAAAGAAAATAATATATAATATATACATTTATATATAAATATAGTTTATTATTAAATGATGATGATGAAAAAAAAATCATGTAAAAGTAGATACGTCAGGAGCCCATGAATTTCGGTACCAATTCGTATTATTACACAACGGTCTCTTTGTATCCTCATTGATATCCATCTTTTTCAAGAACTTTTGGACGTCTGCTAAACACACATTTTCATCGGTGGCAGCTATTTGATCTCGCTGTTGTTGATGATGTTTGATATTCTTCAGGTTTTCCAGTGGGGAAGAAAATGAATTGTAAATGAGGGGGGGAGTATGGGTTGTTAATTCTTCAGCCGTGTGATTTCTTACTAACTGAACTTGATGCTTTCGTGTGGATGTATGATATTTTAATGATTGGTGGTTATATTTTTTAGATGTTTCTTCTGTACAGACAGTATTCACATCCTGGAAAAAATTCATATTGAAGTTATTGCTGTGTACGGATTGAATGGCATCGTCATCGACAAATACTTCATAGGCAGACTGATAATCCACTGAATCATTGGAAGCTAATTCAGCGAGAGACTTGATCCATTCTTCGATCCACAAGACTTTCTCATTCGATAAAGAAGTAGCGGTAGGCATATTATTTAATTGTTGTTGGTTGAGCAGCTGATCTTCTTTATTGAGCCCCGACAACGTTGGTGTAGCATTGTGATATTGTTGTTGTTGTTGTTGTTGTTGTTGATTTAGTGAATATGATCTAGTGGGAGAGACAGGCTGGTATAATTGTCGAGCAGCCTGAGATACCTTCCACATCTTTGCCAAGACGAAGATCCACCTTTCAAGATCATCTTGTTTATGAGCCTTCATGATATAACAGCCACCATCATAAGTTCTTATCGAAAATGATTTGGGTCGACTTGGTGCTGTGAATGAAAATGTTTTTCTATTATTGTCTTTGGGTTTTAATATTGATATGGTGGAGATCTGAACCATGTCAATGGTCCATTTAGGCAATTGGTAATAGCTGGCGATGGCTGGTGTATCATTTATTGAAAGGCTGACGCTTCTATTTTTAGTGGTTGCAAGTAAAGGCGATGTGAGTGAATTGGTGGTAGCAGAGCTTGTCAAGAAACTCATGGGTCTATTATCAATAACTAGAGGTGGATCTAATAATGTGTGTGGTGGCAATTTATTCTTTTTAGATGATAAGCATGTTAAAGAAGATCCATCGAACCGAAATAACCTCCATATCCATTTATCATTTTCTCTTAGGTATAAATGGCCTTCGAATATGTGTGCTGTAATTGGGACTTCTTGTGTATTATTGGGAATAGAGCTGTGATTATATTGATTTTGCATTTTATAGGTGTGTGAAAAATGAAAAATAAAAAGAGAGAAAAAAAGAAAGGGCAAAGGGGGGAACGTAAAAAAAAAAAAAAAAAAAAAAAAAAAAAAAAACCTTTTTTAACCTGTTATTTGTCGTCATCAGATATCCTTTAACCAAGCTAAAAGCGGCAATTTGTCATTTACACTACATGCATTCTTTTTGGTCTCTGAAGCTCAGCCTTTTTTTATTTATTGTGTTAGCCCTCACATATCGCGTTTTTTTCTCAGCATCGTTATATAAAGAAATCCAAAAATAACTTGCATTCTTTTTCTGATAAGTCATGTCAAGCGAAAATGCACATTTATTTTAAGGTTTCAACTAGCAAAACTATCTTAAACTCCTCCCCCCTTCCCCAATTAAACGAATACTCTACTTTTACTTACTTCCCCAGGTGTAATCCATTATTCTGAGAAAAGAAGAAGCATATATGCCATTTGTTTAAAAAAAAAATTACAAAATAACCATCATCCGTTAAATTATAAATTTCTATAATTTCATCACCATGACAAGTGTGTTTTCTTGTACAACTCGTAGCGGCCCTAAACAAAAATCTGCGAGAACCCAACTTTATGAAAATAAATAGTGTACTACAAATAAACTTGGGCGCAGTCTTTCCCTCATTCCCTTTCTTCCTTCTTCTTTTTTTCTTGCGAACAAAATGCTCGAAGCAAACGATGGAACATATGTCGTGTCTGCATTAGGTGGTGTAGGTACCGGAAAATCCAGTTTATTGAACGCCATTACAGGTGAATACACTTTTGAAACCGGCGATGGCACAGACGTAAGGGACCCCTCCCCTTCCCCTTATATTCTCCCTTGACATGAAAGGACTAAACTTTTTATAATAAATAGGCTAAAACCTTGACGGTGGACGGTAAAATCAAGGAGTGGAGATTTGCACCTTCACAACAATTCTGCCATTTGATTGATACGCCCGGATTAGTCGACTCGAATATTCAAGACCGTCATAGTATTCAAGAAATGACACGTTACTTTAAATCATTAGAAAATGGTGTCAGTGCTTTTTTCTTGGTGTTCAATATCAATGATATCAGGTAATAAGAGAGTCTGGATAAAATGTGAAAAGGACCCAACTTACCCGTTGTCCATATATAGATTGGATGCATATACACAAAATATGCTGATTTTGTTCCACCAATTGCTCGGTAAAGATTTCTGGAATTTTGTTGTCATTGTCTTTACGCATGTGGATGAGGATTTTAGAGACGATTTGGAAGATAACATGGATGCTGTTACAGCGAGCAACGGTAAGATATATAAAAACTTGTTTGTATCGGTACTGATGCAGTAAAGGATGTTAGATGGGTTTGTTGCTGAAATCCGAAGAATTTACAAACTCCCAAGATCCTTCCAGCCTTCTGTGATTTTCACTTCTACACAGAATGTAAGATCGAGCAGTTATACGCAAAGACATATGCGAGAGTTATATATGGCTGTGAGCTTGTATGAGACTAGAAATAATGGCAAACGTTTTACCTGTAATTGGTTGAGACAGATTTTAACCATTCCTACCGAAGAACAAAAGTCTACCTTCATCAAGGACAGTATCAAGGATGCTTGGTCTTCCGTATCTAATGCCTGTCAAATGCAATAAATAAATGTTTCATTATAAGAAACCCGAGGTTTTACATGTGTTTGTTATTGGGGCTATTCACAAAGACCTCTTTTTTGTTTTGTTTCAATTTTCTTTTTTTTTTCCTTCAATACTCTTTTTTTTTTTTTTTACTTGTATGAAATTTGCGCAATCTATTGTACTTAATGCAGTGCCAGAATGGCTGGATGAATATGTTGAGTAACGTAAAAAAATATATAATAAAATCATGCGTTTATTCATGTAAAAAAAAAACATTCTAGTTATGATCGGTTAAAGAAAATTGTATACCAAACCGAACAAAACCAAGTGAACCAAATTAATGCCGAATCACGTCAGCAAGAGGAAGAAGGCAGTATTCGCTATGAGAAAAAACCCATCAAAAGTGGTGCCACCAGTACCATCATTAGCGTCAACAAAGAGAACGAACAGTTCTTGAATGAACTTGACCTCCAACTAAATAAAGTCGCAAAATTCTTCACATCCAAATTTCAAGAATTCGTTGCCGATGCAAGGGAATTGGATACCGAATTCGCCACGTTCAATATACCGCTTTCTGATGACTATTTATCAGAAAATGCACTGGAGCGTTTGGATTCCCGGCTTTCAAGGAAGTTCTCGAGGGATTCTTATACTACCACTTCTTCTGTACCCTTCTCAGATGCTTCTATCCCGTTTAACGCTGGCCAGAATTTAATATCCAATCACTCTTCTGAAGAGGAACTCGAACAAAATCTACCATTACCCTCTCCGCCTCCTCCTGCTGCTCATCCTCATCCTAATCCGCCTCCTCCACCACCTGCTATAAACACATCGCTAAATTTTCGTCGTCGTAGTTCTGCAATAGGGGGAGAAACCAGTTCAGTTAGCCCTTTAACTCGTGCTAATACAATTAGTGGGTACGATAACCGTGGTGTTCATATCGAACGAAGTCTTCGCCAACACGCGCATGCACAGCCTCCTGCTCGTATCATGCAAACCATAGGCTTTCAATTCGGCCGTCGAAGAGGCTCTCACATATCTCTTCATCAACCAGATAGTGTAGCCGAATTCAACCTCTATTATAACTTTCGTGTGCGCTGTGCGGCTACCTATATTGCGTTTAAAGAACTCAAATCCTATATTATGATCAACAAGACCGCCTTTGATAAGATCTTAAAGAAATGGGATAAAGTCACGGGTTCCCATTTACGTCAGAGCTATTTTGAGAAGATCGTGAAAGATGTGGAAGCCTTTAGTCCAGAAAATTTAGCTACGATTGACAATACCTTGGAGCATGTTTTGGATATGTACGCTGCGGTGTTTACGATGGGAAATAAACATTATGCGCTGGTAGAGCTTAAGATGCATTTACATGATCATGTGGTATTTGACCGGTCAACAGTGTGGAAGGATCTAGTAGGCAAAGAACGACAAAGAACGGATGCACATGTCTCTATGCCTTCTCAAGGATTCACCATTGGACGTTTCTTTATCAGTCGTAAAACATTAATCAATATCTTTGGTTTCTTGGTCAGTTTGATCTTGTACATTATTCTCATGTGTTTTGATACCATGGGCCAGAAAGAAGCAAGCAAATGTCTGGCTCTCCTTATTTTTTCAGCCCTCATGTGGGCCTTTGAGGTAAACGAACTAAAAACGTATATGACATATGCTTGTAAACTCACAAACAGCGATATATATGTGTAAAAGTGTATTCCCTTATTTGCAACCGCTTTCTTGGTCCCTTTATTAGCTATACCAATGCATGTATGTCGAGACGAAAACGGTCAGGTGCTTGCAGCTTCTGTAGCCGCTAAATTAGTTTTTCAAGCCATGTTTAATGACACGATCATGGTTCTATTAGGCGGATTTGCTATTGCTGCTGCTTTAAGTAAACACGGGGTTGCCAAAGCATTTGCTTCCACCATCCTTAGTAAAGCAGGCTCAAGACCTCGTTATGTAATTCTTGTCAATATGTATCTTGCCACTTTTCTATGCATGTGGATAAGTAATGTTGCTACACCCGTCTTATGTTTTTCACTCGTCCAGGTAAAGTCATCATCATCATCCCATTTTTGTTTAAACAGAAACAATGCACTCATCTCTCCTTGAAGCCTATCTTAAGAACCCTGCGTCCAAAGTCTACAGTCGCACCTTGTTTAATCATGGGAATCGCCTTGGCCAGTTGTATAGGAGGACTTTCCTCCCCCATTTCCTCACCTCAAAATATCATTGCGATTAACCTGATGAGTCCTAGTCCTGGTTGGGGTATTTGGTTTTCAGCCGCCATTCCATGCGGTGTCATTAATGTCGCTACCACATGGCTTTTACTGCTCTTGTATTTTCGTCCTGACCGAGATACACCTCATCTAAACGTCATTAAATCACAAGGGTTTTCACGTCCTACCTATCAACAAACTTGGGTCTGTATCGTATGCTTAGGTACCATTGCACTTTGGTGTGCTGAATCCGCTTTAAATTCATTTTGGGGTAATAATGGTGTGATTGCTGCAATCCCCTTTGTTCTCTTGTTTGCCACCAACATGTTAAATAAGACGGACTTAAATAATTTTTTATGGTCGGTGGTGACATTAGCACAAGGTGGCATGGCTTTGGGGTACGCTGTAGAATCATCGGGTCTACTGGATATCATTGGACATCGTATTGCCTCCGGTGTCAATGAATTAGGAGATCTTGCCATCATCTTTGTGTTTGGAATGCTTGTCTTGGTGTTTGCCACCTTTGTAAGTCATACAGTGGCCGCATTGATTATTTTACCGATTGTCAAGGAAGTGGGGGAGAAATTACCGATTCCTCATCCTAACCTATTGGTCATGGTGACTGGATTAGTATGTTCTGTGGCAATGGGACTTCCTGTATCAGGGTAAGTTGATACGAGCACAACACGAAGATTAAAAGAGACTAATCATGGGATACAAAGGTTTCCCAATATGAATGCCATTATGCTGGAAGATCCGACTGGTATACCGTATTTGAAAATTAAGGATTTTTTACTCTGTGGCATACCCGCTTCTCTATTAGCAGCTGTGCTTACCATTTGTTTAGGGTATGGAATTGTAAGCCAAGTTGGATACTAATCACAATTTAAAAATAAACAATTTGAACACATTTACATGATTTACTTTTAATAATTATTTCATTTTATTCATAAGTAAAAAGTGGACTCCTAACAGTTTGACTTGCTAAAGGCCAAAAGACTGTTACGGTAGCGATTTGTATACAGAACCAAGTATAAAAGAGCTACGGTTATTTTATGTAAACTTACCTTACACTTCCAACATGAAAAATTCAAAATGTTTATTTGTTGCAGGGAAAGCCAAGGTAACAAATTTTATACTTCTTCACACTTGGCTTACCAAATCAGATTTTACGTCACATCAAGATGTAAACAATCTTAAACACTTTGAAAGTGTGAGAATCCATTACATACAACTCTTTTTTTTTTCTTTTTATAGGTCTCTGACTTTCATATGCAGCCAATAATTTGTGATTATTGTCCAGTGTTTACTTCACAATCTGACGCCTTTATTATTGGTCTCAACAAGGGACAATACTAATGGGATTGATGATGTATACTTGTACCAGTATAACTATACCAAGCTAATTGTGGTTAATTTATCAGTTAGTTGATGACCTCAAAATGATTTTTTTTTTTATGGTATAATTTTCTTTGATATTTGCATTGTTTTATTTTAGGATTAAAGAAAAAATTGAGAGGATAATGTTAATGATGAATGGGGAATAATCGGCTAATAAATTGTGTGTGTATGATGAGATTGCTTCTGAACTTTTTTTAAAAAGTTATCTTGATGGGTGTATATTTTAAATTCACGTATCTGTCCCACTCTTCATCATCATCAGTAATCCATGGAATGCCGCCGTCTGGTAAAGGCTCGAATTTTTTTGAGTTGGGTAGTGTTGGAGTGATATTCAGTATGGCGTAACCTAATCCCGTAAAGCATCCACCTCTTTTAAAGACACCCAAATCCAATATATCTCCAAAGAAGCGTAACCGTATTTCCATCTCATACTTTAATGATAGTAAGGGTAAAAAAGGTAAATTATGTAATTCAACGTGTATAAGCTGATCTTTATCTGTTAAAGATAAAAATCCTTTAACAAAAGTACCATCTGACAGTATGATACCTTCATTCAGAATAGTGTTACGTCCATGGCTTCCCATCGTCCATACTGTCTCTAAATAAGAACGATCGAGGTATCTTCGAAACGTTTGTAAACGACCGCGATACTCGGCACCTTCTTCTTTGCCCGCATTAAAACTTTGGAGTGCATTGAGAAGTAACTGTGGTTCTTTGATATGTGTAATTTCAATAAGAACAGAGTTTTTCTCCACACCTATTAAAAGAGGTCGTACCAGTTCAACAGGCGATGGTTTTCCTGTTTTATTTGGTGCTGAAGGAACAGTTTCAGTAGTAAGACAGATAGAGTTAAATGAAAACGGTTTTTCTTCCACTTTACTCCAAAAATTGTAATACGAATTTTCTTGTTCTTTGGAAAGCTTTGTTTGGTTTTTAGATGAGAAAGACATAGTTTTGTGGAACTTTAGGCACACAGCAAAAACAGGCGTTTTTTATTATATCTGTTTTTTTTTGAAAGCCCGAGAGTTGTCAATTGATAATCAATGGTCACAGTGTATTACGCCCCCAATCCCATTCTCGCAGCACACACACATTATTTTTTTATCTCTGTCTACTTAAAATGAGTACTTCGTCAGCATCAACAGCAGCCACAGCCGTTGCAGCAGCAGCACCAACAGAAACAGGAGCAGCAGTAGCAACAATAGCAACAACAAAACCAAACACTGTAGCACCTAAAAAGAAAAGAATTATACGACGCAAGAAATTACTTACACCTAAACAAAAGCTCATCAAGGAGAGTGCAGAACAACGTTTCAAGATTGAGAAATTAGTGTTTGTATGGCAAGAGAAACTTTTCACACAAGCAAAGACACCTGCTGCTACCGTACAACGTGCGGCATTATACTTACAACCAAAGACGTTTGAGGAAGTGGTGGAAGAGCGTGCGGTCCAGTCATGGTGTGGTTATCCCCTTTGTGGTAATGAGCCCAAGGCTCAGGATTTGCAAAAGTACAAGATTTCATTAAAGCAGCGTAAAGTCTATGATCAGTCCGCATTGGCTAATTACTGTTCAGAAGCTTGTTACCATAAAGCGAAATACTATATCATGCAATTGTCAGAAGAACCCGTCTGGTTTCGTGACTTGAACGCATTACCTACGGCTCATATCATTCTATTGGAAGAGGATTTCAAGTAAGTGTCTATCGATAGTATAACCTACCCATCGTTGTCTCATTTTTTTTTGACATTATAAAAAAGAACGGCTATCAAGCAAGAAAGAAAACGAACACTGTTACTGAAATCCAGTGACGAAATTCGAAGTGAATATGTTCAACATCTATTAGCCAACGTACCCAAAGATACAAAGGATAAATTCGAAATCATTGAGAAATCTACCGTAGCACCACCTTCTTTACCTACCAAGGGAGATACCGTATTTGATTCGATTGAAGGCTATCGTATCGAGATCAAAAAGAATGACGGAAAGTCACCTACCACCATGGTCCTGAAAAAGAAATCAGAGGCAGAAATTCAATCGGAAAAGGCCAAAAAGAAGGCAGAAGAAGACGAGATCAAGTTGGTTCAACAGCAACAGGCATTGGAGGCGGCGGATGACCCCGATGCTATGTTTGAAACTATGATGATGTTGAAGGATATGCACATGGATCGAGATGAGACTCCTGTACAGAAGCCGGCGTCTGCACCTCAACAACAACAGCCGGCGGAACCTGTGCCTGCGGTAGCCACGTCTAAACCAAAGCCTGTGACTACGCCCTTCGAAAAGAAGAATACGGTAGAAAACAAGACATCACCTGAGGAGCCTACTTCTTCGAAAAAGCTCACGTCGAAAAAGACGGTGACGGAAAACATAAGCAAGGAAGAAGAGAACAAGGTTATTCAAGTGAAAACAAAGACGAAAAAAGCAGCTGTCAAAAAGAAGGCTACGGTACCTGAGCTCTCCCTGTTTGGCACGATTTGGACCATTCTGGATCATATGACGACCAAGGCCACTCGCGTCTATCTCCATGAATTGCATACCAATCATCGACGTGTGGACATTGCCACTTTATTACAGGAAAATGATCTCACCGATGATTCAGCCTATCTCCGAGGACACATCTTTAGTGAACGCATCCTTGACACGTAAAGTATTCTATTAGGGAGTAAACTATTTGCTGCCAGAAAAAAAAAAGATTGAAACTAAATTCTTTGATTATTTTTTTTTGTTATTTGTAGATATGGTATTGTACGTACACAGTTGAATATTCGAGAGAATATGGAGGACGATATTGTGAATGTGATCAAGACATTTCGATTATCCGACGCATCGATGGTCGCGTTAAACCCGGCTCAATGTTACATGATGACACTGGTGTTGATTAAATCGTTGGCGGATATATTATTAGATGGCTCGGATTGGAAAAAACAATTTGAAATGTGTTGTAAAACCGTGGATCAATCTATTGATACAGTCGATGCTTGTGTCCGCGTACTAAAAATCGCTAGTGTATAGATTTCTTTTTTAATAAAAAAGTTTACCGAGCAATTTTTTTTTTTTTTATTTTTTTTTACTCATAACAAGGAATCACATGGATAAATTATGCCATTGGAGTCAGATGAAAAAGTAATTCTATTATTTAAAATCGCACTACTCTTGATAAGATCTTTTTTTAAATATACTATATTTAATTTTACATTCAAATGGGCGTAACAAGCACAATTAAAAAAAAATGTATGCATGTGTGTGTGTAGGGTGATGAATGGGTGATCATCTGTATGACATGAGAACGTAAAAAAAAAAAAAAAAAAAAAAATCTCTTGCAAAAAAAAGAGAGTTTAAAATTACGACCGATCTGGCGAAATATGCAACGTTAGATGGTGGCACTTTTCACCCGACAGTTTTATGCAATGATTATATGCATTCATGATTTTTTGGATTTATATGAAACTTGATCTCTTTTCTTTTTTTTTCCCAGGGTCTGCCTTTTATTGTGTTAATCCCCAGATTCCCTTTGTTAAGATCAGTTACATATTCATCTAACCTTTTAGCGCGCGCACCCCCTTCCCCAAAAAAAGCTTAAAAAGAAGTGGCTCCTTAATAATAGTAACCTTCTTTTTTTTTAATCAAAGGGTTGAAATTGCGCAATCAGATCTACGTATCGCGTCTTTTTCTGCATAGATAGTAACAGATCATTTTCTATTTCAACAATGGGGTAAAGTATTCTCTTTCTGTCACTTTTTTTTTTTTTTTGAGATCGGGCCGTAAAAAGGTTGGAGTACCTACTAACTCTAACACTAAACAAAAAAAAAATCAAGGTCCCGTTTAGATACCCGAGAAGTAAGCGTCACTGGTCTTGTAAGGTAGATCTTTCTTATAAGAAACATAACCTCCTTTATAACTATTGAACTAAATAAAAAAAAAAGAGCTCATCATCGGTATGCATTACTTTACTAAGGAGAAGTATATTGACACTTTTTTTTTTAAAAAAAATTTACTTTTCTCTCTTCTCTCTTCTTTTTCTGTTTATACATAATATTTAATTTTATTTATCTTTTTAATTTGAATGACGGTACTTGATCATGAATCTTTGCCGAGCAATGAATTCTACCAAGACTATTTCCCCACCATTATACTTTGTTTATGCACAGTCTACATCCTATCTTATTTCATACGCTATGGTTTACATCAATTTCGACGTTATCGCGATAGAAAAAAGCAACAAGAAAAGAAACACTTGATCCAGCATTGGCAACGTCGTCATCTACAGCAGCACACTACAGCAGTGGCATTTCCTCCTTTTACGTATACCACTACTTCCTCATGCACGTTGAATTCCAGCACGCTGCCGACGAGTGGTCACCATAGCAAGTTGCCACAGCAACAAAAAGCGTGGTCAAAACCGAAAAATAAATATCAGTGGATCAGTAAGGATCAAAGGCTAAACTTGTTGTGGCATTGGAGTGTCTCTATGGGTCATGTGGAATACGATCATGCAAAGGGGTTAAACGCGTTGGTTCAACAATTGTCTATTGTTCGGTTGACGAAGACTTCTTCTTTTGCTGTGGGTGGTGCTGGTCATACACCTTTGGAAAAAGTTATTGTAGAAGCTTAGATCTAGGTTGTATTATCTTGCATAATGAGTTGTAGAGATAATGACTGTATTTGTATATATTAAAATGAAGAAAACAGCTGAAGGATGAGGGGGGGAAGCCGTCCCCTCTACACTTGTTTTTTTTTCCTCCCCGCCGAGATACTTTTTTTTTTTGTTATTGTTTTTTGAAATGGCGTGTCGATTTCATCATATTAAAAAAAGAAAAAGTAAAATTACCCATTATGTACACTGATTAAAACTTTGTTTTTTTTCAAATTAAAAATGAAATAAGAGAAAGAGACAGAAAGAGAAACTAGAATGATGATAATAAAAAAAATTTTCACGAAAAAAAAAGGATTTAAGCCATTTTCAGGATTGACGCTAATTAAGTGTCGATGGCTAGCAATTTTGTAACTTATGACGAAATTTTCGCGGGGGGGGGACATCTATCCATTGCGGGCAATGGGGATGGTGCGTGAGTGATTGGGCGTATAAAAATTCATGTTAGTATATTTTTGGTTAAAAAGAAAGTATGTAATCATGTCGTTTAAATGTTTTTTTTTTTCCGTAAAAAAAAAAAAAAAAAAAAAAAAGAAAAAATTATAAACAAAAAAGAAACTTGTACAAATGAGCCCCCGAGGGACCATAGAACAAAATAGACGTATTTATGGATGATTCGTTTGTTCTATTCAGTGATTGATCTACAAACCCCATTTATACTATGAAATAATCTCGATTAAAAAGAAATCAAGTTTAACTAGATCAATAAAGTAAGAAGAAAAACGTAATAGGTTATAGCCATTGTAAATTCATGCGTGTCTCCCATTCATAACAATCTATCTAGCCCAAATGTGTTTCATCAGTAGATCTATGTGATATCATGACGCGTTGATTAAATCACGGAGACTTTATCTTACCAAGTAATCTTTTTTTTTTTTTTTTTTTATCCTGAATAAAAAATCTTACCTACCCCGCCTACTCTCTCTCTCTCTATGCAATGTAACAAAAATGCAATGTATCTCGGATTCAACTATGGATTTGATGTAAAGTAACCCTGCATTGTTATTAGAAGGGCACCTTTTTTTTTGTGTGTGTGTATGTATGTGTGTGTGTGTATGTAGAATCACCTGCCAAAGCTAACCATACTTTTTTTTTTCAATTTCCGATTTAAGTGTGTGTTCACGTTTCCGTTTTTTTTTTTTATTAATTGACAAAAGGAAAGTGTGTTTACAAAAAGCTACAGAAAAGTTGAAGAGCCGTTTTAATAAATGCATTGACCATTTACAAAAAACAAAAAAACGTAGCATAAAATAGTGTCATAAAGTATACTAAATTGTAAGAGTCTTACTAACAAAGATTTAGCTGAAATGGAATTTAAAAAAAAAAAAAAAAAGGTTTACGGTGGCGTCATAGCCAAAAATATTTTAGAGTGACAGGAAAAATGTGATGTGCGATCTTCCAATTTCCGTCATATGAATAAAAATTACACACCGTCGGGATAGAGATCCATTATGGGTTTGGGCCTCTTTTTTATTATTATTATTATGATTGTGTACCTAGTAAGACAAGAAAAAAGTCTAGACAAGTATTGCGGGTGTGGCGGGGCGATTTATTCTTCTGTGTAGCCCCAAAATTATAATCATTTTCTTTTGTGTAGCGCGCTATCTATTTTAGCGTTTGTCAGATCGTTAACGGTGCCTGTTCCGAGAACTATCTAAATTTACATTCTAAAATAACTTGCCATAATAATTATTCATGGTTACATCCATCTCTTTAGATCTTTAGTAGGAGTTTATATGAACAAAAAATAAGTGAAATATTTTTATTTTTATTTTTTTTTTTTTTTTTGTAGGGCAAAGAACAATATGTAAAAAGAGAGAAAGATATGTATAGAAGAGGTGCAAACTAAAAGAAAGAAGGAGGAAATGTACAGATGATAAAAAGGGGGAGGTGGGGGTATTTTTTTTTTTTTTGAAGCGAGTTATTTAATAAGGTTGGTAATGCTTAGGTGGCGTAGCAGGTGCTTGTTGCTGGGCAGAAAGCATGGCACGTAACACCTCGTTCTCCTGCTTCACTTTAGATAATTCTCTTTGCAATGTAGAGTTACTAGTCATCAATTGCGACACTTTGGTTGTCATGGTTTTCATGCTCGCTTGCTATTTTTTTTTTTAGGTTAATATCATGCAAACATCTAATAAGATTTTTTTCTTTTTATTTTTTTTACCTTTTTAGCGCGGTATTTAGCAGAGGCAAGTTTGTTTCGGTATCGACGCTCCTCAACAGACATGGGCAATTGAAAACTGTTTCTACGCTCGTCATTATAAGTCGCGTAATCCATACGAGGTGACAAGGAGGGAGATCGGCTCTTGTAGGAATCCGGTGGTGATAAAGGCACATCTTGATGAGATGGGGTGTCTACAATAGCATAGATAGACATGCATTTTCTAGAATTATCCATGGTAGTAAAAGACATTATTTTTTAAATTTGTGTGTGTGTGTTTATTTGTTAAAAAAAAAAGATAAAGAATAAAAAAAAGAAAGAAAAAGAAACAAGGCCTCATTTATATAAGCTTTTTTTTGCAAACCAGCAGCCTGGGAAGGGAAATTAGAGTCATACACGCATTGATGACACTGACATCATTTCATTCCCTTTTTTATACAAGTGGGGTTTTTTATTATTTTAGTATTTTTTTATTTATTTTTTTTACACTTAATTGGGGGGTGGGGGTGATATATAAGGGATTTTTCATGCCTTGTGCTTTCTGCGGTAACGGGAACAAGCATCAACCCCAGGCATTTCCTCCATCATTTCAATAACCAATGGATGAGCAAATCCATAGTATTCTGGGCCAGAAATAGCATTAGAAGACTCTTTCTGTCTAACCTCATTTGCTCTTTTGATGACAGAAGCCCAAACCCCTGTTGCTGTCTTAGCTGATAATTCAATTTGAGGAGCATCCGCAGCGCAAAGCGTAAACTAAAATGATGATATGATGAGTAAATCATTATGAGGGGAGACTAATCTTTTTTTAGCGCTTTTACCAGTGGCCCATCTTGTCCATCTTCTACTTTACACGTGTACGTCGTTTGATTATTGGGATCAACCATACTCATATAGGTTCTCTCCACTGTGTAGCCAATAGGGAATATGTACCTATCATTATGATAACCAGGTCTCTCGCTATCAATCGTGCCCAAATCAATCACATTTAAAGACGCTATCTGAAAAGGTAAGATGATGGCGCCATCTTCATCCCTTGGTATAAGCACACGTTTTCTCTTTGAAAGGCGTTGTTTTTTCGGTGTAGGAACTAATAATGTGTTAGTTTTATAAACTCTATCAATGATAATAATGATAAAAAAAAAAGGCGCTGCCTACTTATTTCATCATCTTCATCCAATTGATCTTCCTCTTCGTCTTCTTCTTCATCCAGCATTCCACCTTCAATATCTTCCATCTCATCCTCTACAGTACTTGTGTCCATATCATCTGTCTTTTTTATTGATGTACGCTTTTGTTGTAGCTGTTGACTATCATGAAAATACAGTTAGCCATAATAATAAACATGTTAATAAAAAAAACACGTTACCGACTCTTTTTTTCTAATCCTTGTATTTTACGGTGAGCTTTATCCAACGCGGCTTGATATTCTTTTTTTTTCTACAGGAGACGCGTCAAAAAAAAAAAAAAAGTTGCGGACATGACGTGTAAAAAAAAAAAAAAAAAAAAAAAGTGAAACTTACAGCAATCATTTCAACTAATTTACGCTTCATTTTACGATACTTTATAAAGTGTTGTTCACTCCATGTTTTTGTTTGACATGCTCTTTCATTATTACGTCCAAGTTTTCCCTCGTCCTCTTCAACCAAGACGTCGTTTACTTTAAGTTCTTTAGCTGTTGTCGACATTAAGGGTATGGGCCAACAAGGGGAAAAAGATTTAAAAAAAAAAAAAAATTCGCGCCCGCCCCCTTCTCCCCCCTTTAGCTCATAGTTTAAGCCAATCAAAAAGTGAAACCTTATTTTTAAAAAAAAAATAGGTTACTGACTATTTTTTTTTTTCTTTTTAAACATTACACAATTTAGTGAATCCACAGTTTTGATGGATAGAATATTTAACACAGTTAGAGTAGAGAATGATAATCTAGAGTATGATGGTAAATGGAAAAGCCCAAGAAACAAGAAATATAAAAAAAAAAATAAAAAATAAAAAAAAAGAAGCAAACGCTAACTATAAAAAAGTAGAAAATGATGATTCACCATCTAATTCTGATGGGTCACTTCAAAGTTGGATTAGTTGGTTCTGCTCACTTTCAGGCCATGAGTTCTACTTGGAAATTCCAGAGGAATTTATTGAAGATGAATTTAATTTAACAGGCTTATCTGCACTTGTCCCGTTTTATAACGAAGCCTTAGAGATGATTCTGGATATTGAACCAGAAGAAGTATCAGACGATGATCAAGCTGCCACTGCTACGGCTGATGATGATGAGAATGGAGATGAGGATATACAAGAAGAAGAGGAGGAGGAGGACGATGGGTTTTGGAAAGAGACACCACGTCAACCACGTCAAATGGGCTATGTGGATCCTAATGTGGTTGAACCTTATGCAGCCATGTTATATGGATTGATCCATCAACGTTATTTAGTGACTCGTAATGGCTTAAGAGTGATGGCTGAACGTTACTCAAGTGAACAATTTGGCGTTTGTCCTCGTGTTTACTGCTACAAATGTCCTGTGATTCCTTGCGGTCGATACGATGAAGCTGCCAAAGAAAGTGTCAGACTTTACTGTCCTTCCTGCATGGATCTCTATTGTCCACCCAATCCCATGTTTCAAAACATTGATGGTAAATCTATATACAACCCTTTATATATATATATCCCGAAGATTAAATTCATTCCAACTATTTAGGCTCACATTTTGGCACAACTTATGCCCATTTGATGTTTGAGACCTATGCCGAATTGGTGCCAAAACCCAAACCTCATATATACCAACCTCGCATTTTCGGTTTTCGAGTGAATGAAAGTTCTCGTGTTGGCCCTAAAATGCAATGGCTAAGAGCCAAACATGATCAAGAAGAAGAATTTGTCAAGGTAAATCAATGGCAACATGCATAAAATATGAAAAAAAAAAGTGAGAGATGTTTTATTATGCACTCTCTCGTTCTTTTGTTACACATATTTTTTTTTTATTTTTTATTTTTTTTTTTTTTACTTTTTTAATACTTGTCTACTCATGTCAAAAAAAAAAAAAATATATATATATATAAAATTTTTTATTTAGCCGGCGATTCCATTGCAGGCGGTGGATCAAATAGTGGAAACGCAAGCCGAAGGTTGGAGATTGAAGGATGCAAGCTTTCATAACTTGTTTAAACGCTTCTTCTGACGCCTCTTTTTTTTTATTTTTATTAATTGAAGCTCCTCTTTTTTATTTTTTTATTTTTCATATGTGTGCTGTGTGTGTATATCTAAAAAAGAAACATGACATCATTTTGGCAGATCAAAAAAAAAAAAAAAAAAGTTTTTGTGCATGGGCATTTTAGTTAAAGTTCCCATTACGAAGCTTAATTAAAAAATCCTCTTTGGGGTAAAGCCTCATCTTATTGAGACTCGCCTGATACAAGAAAGGGATGAATAGCGTCCCTGCCACATTCCTCTGTCTCTCTCTCTCTCCCGAAGGAATTCCCTCTTAAGAAAAGACAAACAAAGAAGCGGGGATTCCGAGAATTCGAGTTTTTTTTTGTTTTGTTTCGAGTAAAATAAGCTACACAAGGCTCTAACGTCATTTGGGAGTTTCTGTACTCCCCCAGTGTAAGGTTACTCCAAAAAAATAAAAATGGTGATCGACATTTTTTTTGCTTATCCAATCATAATAATCCATTGTCAGTAACAGCTGCATCCCAGTTGGGTGATGATGGTGAATTATATGAAATACCACGTTTTTCTTTTATTGTAAATACATGCATTTTAAGAATTCATTTCACGCTCTTTCCATACAAGAATCTCGCGTTTATTTTAAACAGTGACATCCTTTGGGAACAAAGAATGCTCAATTACTACAATTCCCGTTATTCAAACAATGACATCTTTTTTTTTGTGGGAGTGTGTGATGCTGGATACTCCCCTCTTTCACTTCAGACTTATTGACCATCCCGCGTTTTAAACAAACCTTCTTTTTTTTTATTTCTATGAAAATACCCTATTTGACAATAATCCGAAAAAAAAAAGTTTAATTATAGAATGCTTATCGGATTTACCCCTCTTTTTCCTCTCCCCCCAATCTCGCGTTTTTTTTAAACAGTGACATGGTTTTTGGAAGGAAATTATTGCTTCCAAAAAAGTACATCATGGATATTATCGTTAGCTTACAATTACCGCATTTCAACAATGACATGTTTGTCAAAATTACCCCTTTTAAAATACCCCATTCGAAATAGATGCAATCATAGAATATTACCGAAATCTTGTATTTTAACAATGACATGTTTTTCCCCCTTATTCAGACTATCACGCGTTTTTCTAACAATATCGTATTTACTTAAATGTAAAAATGCACTATCACTCTAACTTGAAACAGTTTAATTAACTGGGTCTACTCTCTTGTATTGTGTTCATGGCACGTTTTATTTTATGCGGAAAATACCTCTCCGCCTCCTTTACACTTAATAGTCTACGTACTTTGAAAGATATTTACATATCTACATTTATATATGTCCTCAAGGCTAAACAATTACCTGAAGATGGCATGTTTCAATTACCGTATGCATCATTCTAATAATATTAAAATACAATTATGTTGAACTTTAATGTAAGTGAGTCTATGCATCTAAAACAGCATGCATATTATGTAGCTGTTGTGTATAATTTATTGGGTAAACACAACATGGAGTCATTAAGTAACACCCATTATATTATTGATGTGGTCAAAGGCCTTTAGTAAAAGTCTATCGGGGTCTTTAGACGCCTTACAAATTTTTATTTGTTTTGGATTCCATAGATGTTCTATTTCGTACCCAACTTTTTTTTTTTGGTTTTACAATCTCCCCCCGTTGTGAAAAAAAAAAAAAAAAGCCGCGTTGAGTGAAAATACCCATAAGTTTGTTTTTTTTTACGCGGACAATACCCGTTATCAGTACGCCCCAAAATAGGCTTTTATAAAATACCGTATTTTAACAATGACATATTTTTACTTTCTTGTGAAAATACACAATCGTTTTAAGAGTGCGATCACGTCGTGATCAGTCATTCTGCCATACCACACATATTTTCTAACTCGGCCCCACCCATAATCCCCCGCATTTCTTTCTTTTTTTTTTTTTTTTTGAAAAAAACATATAATTCTACATCAACATCAACCTAGAAGACATAGTGGGTTTACTTCACCTTCACGCGTCTTTATTATGTCACCAACTATATGCAATTAGTGATTTAAAGTGCAAAAAAAAAAAAAAAAAAAAAAAAAAACCTTTAATTTACAAGGGAGAAAGCAATACGGTATGAGTATATAGGCCGTATTGATGAAAGACCTTATCAGCAGCAAGTACCTTCTAAAATATTGATATAGATTCAATGTGAGAAGAGCTGCAATAGTATGCCATCACAATAGATAATACGAGTAAAGTGTCATGATGTAGTTCAAGCAGACAGTAAACTTTATTAAATTATGCCCAGATTAAGAAGGACACAGGCGAGAGTGTTGACTTTGATCCTGAATAACGTAAAGCACTAACACATTTGTAAATTGACACAATTCCCACTAATGATTTCAGTCACTTGAGATTTCCAATCCAGTTTGGTTTTTAATTATTTATTGTCGATAAAAGATTTCAACTCAAGTCTTTGTGATTAGTTACTTTGTGAAGCTCTCGTTTGAAGAAGATATCTTGAGTATCCCAATAATTTAGAGAACATCATACTGGTCCTTTAAAAGCTCAAAAACGTATCATTGTAAATCTAAAATAGCACTGGAAGTATTCTTTTAGACTAGAGAATCTGAAATGTCTGCCCCATTTATTAACAAGTGCAATTCCAGCTTAGATTACTGTGAATTTAAGGTTTTCATTAACAGCTAGATGATAGGCCAAATTAAGTGAAATAAGATACTTTGATTCAAGCAATCAAAAGTCTTTAAATCCCTCCTTTTTTACAGTTGACGTCTTTCAGTGCCTAAGCTTTGAAGGTTAAATTAATCTTATTGGCCAAAACACTAATCTTAAAATCAAATTTATTATAGAATGAGCATATAAAAATTTGTATACACAATCAGCGTGGTCATTTTCTTCTAGAATACCTTTTTTTTTAAAGAAGACTACGTCAACACATATATCAACTTGTAATGTAAAGAGTCTTCCTAGTAGTAATGACCCGTTGATAAAAGATTTGGGATCAACCCCAGCTGCTGAAAAAGGCGGGACTTTAAAAATATAGAAATGTGCCTGGACGTTTTAACAGAATAAACAAGGATTTTCAAGTAATAACAGTTTTCAGAGTGAAAAAAAAAAACTCTTATATAAGAGACACTGCTGGGGGTCATTTTTGGTCAAGACTTTTTAAGACTTACGGGTGTCTAATCCGAATTCTTAAAAACTGGAGTAGGTCCGACTTGGTCAAACGTCCAAATGTCCAATTTAAGCCCTGGGATTCAATAGTTGCCAGTAATATGTACTTGGGACCTCATCCATTTTTTAAATTTCGTCAAGAATGTTTAAAAAAAACCACTGTTAAACCACTGAAAAAACACTTAATTTTTTTTTTCTCTTCTTACAGGCGTGCTTTCACTTTTTTTTTTTTTTTTTTATAGTTACCACCGCCATCATACCCAAATCTCTTTTATATCCCTTCAAAAAATTCCTCTTCATTATAAGTAGTGACAAGACTCATTTTTTTAAAACCTAATACGTTCTCTTTACACTATCCATAACGGAGGAATCAGTTGCATCCTAGCTAAAACGTCGCAGTACTATACGATTAAAAAAGTGCATTTCTTATAGACAGCCAATTTTGCCTTAGGGACAGCCAAGGTGCACGTAGTCACAACGTAAGTTCTGTGATCTGGCGGAACAAGGACATACAATCAAAGACAATATAACAATTACAAATAAATGTATAGTAAACGACTTATACTTATTTTCACAAATCCATCATCCCTATTTCGCCTTTGAGCTCTTTGATCTTAATCTTACGCAGATATACTAAGTTAAAGGCCAAATGAGAAGCTGAAAGTATGCTATAACACACACATACTGGTTTATCATATGCTGGTTGCAATAACTTGTATCTATTTCAAGACGATGATTTATATTGATTTCTTGGTGTCTATTAAAGTATCATAATCCGATATTACGACTACGCACACCTTGACTGTCCTTAAGAAACCCGTTTATTTTTATTATCTACCTAGTTTTTTGAGACTATAGATACGCCTGCTTTCTAGTATGTGAAGGCTCAAACATATGGGTGATTACATATGCAATTAAATTATCCTGACGTAAGCCAGCTCTTGTTTATCAGTTTATTAAAAAAAAAACTCGCTCACACGATCTTCTGATTAAATAATAAACAATTAAATCATCCTGACATAAGCCCAGCTCTTGTTTATCAATCTAAAAATAAAAACCGCCCAAAAAATTTTTTTCCTTCCCTTCTTCCCTTCTTCTCTTCATCTTTTTTTCTTTTTATGCTGTAAAACATCTTCATCTTCTTAAAGAGAAGTAATAAATACGCACCACGTAAGAAAAAGAATGGATCACGCGACTCTAAAAAACCGTAGGTGTGTCTCGGCCTGTCGAAAACTGGTACGTGTCTAAAGGCTTGTTCTTTTTTGCCTTTACATATCAAGAAGGTACTCCGGGATCGAATTTCGTTTTTCGGTAAACTTGAAAAGAATCATGACGTCTTCTCCTTATTCGAAGGCCATCCCGCGCGTGAAAGCATACGATGAGGTAGAGTAAAAAAAAAAGAAAAAAAAAAAAAAGAAAAACACTTTTTCATAACACTTTTCCTTTTTCCCCAGAGCGTGTGCTATTTCGAGAAAACTCCTCTTGGCAATTGGAGTCTCTCCAACGCTGTTAACTTAACTTCAAGCAAAAAAAGTTTGAAGTTATATCAGCAGCTTTTTGATCCGATTCGACAAAATTTAAGTCGAATCGACAAAATTTAAGCCGGTTTGACAAAATTTAAGCCGAATCGATAATGAAACAGCAACAAACTGGAGGCAAAACTGGAGGGTCGCCGAAAAATGCTTTGTGATTAGAAACAAAAGCTAATGAAGTTGTTAGAAAATGATTCAACCCTTCTGAATCCTTTTCTGACCAATCGACGTAAGTATATCACCATCACTTCTTCTGCAAACCGAAACTAATTTTATGCGTTTTATGCAATATTCCCTACTTTTAGGTGTGAAGCTTGAAATAGTTAATACTTCAAGCTTCATTAATTCAAGTCATACGGTATTTATTTGTTCACTTTATAAAAAATAGGCAACATTTTGACTCACTCTAAAAAAAAAAAACATCTCGTTTGTATAGATTAAAAGGTAATATACCCTCCATCCTGTATTCTTGATTATTGAAACTAACCATCAATAAATTTATAGACAACTAAGTGATGATGTTGAAAGTTCAAATAATAAAAAACAAAAGCAATCGGAAACAAGGTAATTTTTCCAACGTCCTATTATAAACTCAAATAACTTAAAAGTATTTATAAAAAAATATCTATTTAGTAGCCTGTCATCCGAAGAGCAGCCAATCTCTTCGCAAGAATCCCAAGGTTCACTGTACACAACAGACTCTGACCATACTATTGTAAATTTCGAAAGGATGAAGCCCTATGTAAGCTGATTGACACGCAAGATAATATTCATAATTATTTATACCATCCACTGTAGTTTTTTTTTTTTCAATGGCAATAATATTAGTAGAATGTGCTTCGATTTTAGAAACCAATGCTTGCAAGAAGAACTCATGCTCAAGTCTTTACCTGATATTAAAAAAATGGCTATAAACCATGTTTACTTTCTGGACAGAGACATAACCTCGGCCATCCATGTAGACCGTGATTTTTTCACACAATATGAGGGGGATGAATCGTATACTGCTCTACCAGAAGAGGATGAAGAGGCTATCCTTCGTATAAGCCAAGTACGTGTGAATAAAAAAATTACGGCATTGTTTACTTAATTAATTTGTTATATTTAATAGCATCGAATCACAGCCATTTACAGTGTAGTCACAGCCATTTATAGTCTGAGTACGGTGTAATCTTTGAAATCCCGCCTTAAATTACGAAAATCTGCATTTAAGCAAATGCATACACGGCGAGTATATTTACTTAGAAAAGTATGCCTGTAAGTGATTGTGGCGACCTGTAAATATAAAGCAATGGATGTAGCATTGGGGCACATGACCAAGGATAGTAAATATCCAGTTGCAAAAATCATGTACAACCTGTAAGTAGTCAACTTTTTCCGATTTCCGTCCAATAATATAAATATCAATCTCTTCCTCGTAGGCTCGATAATTATGATAATGCCGAGAGTATATACACTAAACATGCCCATGTAAAAATAAACATGATTCGTGAAGCAAGTACGGTGGTGATTCTTGCTCGTAGTCCAATGATCCTCGATGGTGATTCCTGGTTGTGATCCAATGCTCGGAGATGGTGATTCTTGGTGGTGAATCAATGCTCGGAGGTGGTCATTCTTGGTGGTGAATCGATGCTCGGAGGTGGTGATTTGTGAATCACTCTTTATATCAAGGGCTTTAGATCCATTCTTGAATGTTGTATTTTCTACTGGTGGTATTATGAGTAGAGATGGGTAAGTACTGCAGTTTTCTTTGAACATGTATATGCAAACTCATAACCTCACTGCATTATGTAGTCATTTCACGCCTTTGATCGGAAACAATGACTTGAAGCCTGATGTGAAGTACAGCGCTCGAATTGGATCTAATACGTATGATTTCTTAATAATTGAAGTCAAGTGTCCAAGCTCTACCAAAGATGATTTATTTTAAGATGTCTGTGGAGTTGCAGCTTATGATCAATCGTACAGTAGCCACTCGATTTAAGGGTGATCAAAAAATTTCCAAAATCTCACCCTTAAATAGAAAATACCTTTAAATCGAAAAGCAAGACTATTGTAAACAGATGTCCACCAAAGCCAGTATTACGTGAAATATGATCATTACTACCAAAACGCTTCTTTTGCTCGGACATTCAACACATTTGGTCAGTGATGTACCGTCTCGATTTAAGGGTATGGTGAATTGGGATCTCACCCTTAAGTAGAATGGTGGTTTAGTGGCGTTAATGCTAGGGACGGATGCTGTTTTTTAAAAATCCACTCTTAAATCGAGCACCCTTAAAAGCGGCTACTGTATGATAGACAACAATGTATATAAGCCTGTCGTTTATGGAGTTGTAGGAAAAGGTAGAGTTAGATATGAGCAAAGCATTGTCAAGAGCAACTGGTTAACTCTTTAGGAATATGTTTCGATTATGATGTTTATAGGATGGAATTGGTTGCTCCATTTCTTTGTTTACTGATCAAGATACGCTCATTTTATGTCTCTCGAAGCACGTATGACTTTCTGGTTCCCGTCACAACTATACCTACTTTGCTACAACTTAAAAAACTCACCAGTCTCTCTTTTCGACTTAACGGTATTTTCTATTTAAGGGTGAGATTTTGGATATTTTTTGATCACCCTTAAATCGAGTGGCTACTGTACGATTGATCATAAGCTGCAACTCCACAGACATCTTAAAATAAATCATCTTTGGCAGAGTTTGGACACTTGACTTCAATTATTAAGAAATCATACGTATTAGATCCAATTCGAGCGCTGTACTTCACATCAGGCTTCAAGTGGACAAAGCAAGAAAAAGTACCATGTCGGCTGAAAGTTAGCCAAGTCAACAACTTGATTGGATAAGATACCCTCGTATCACTCTGAAGCCAGACTTTTAAAAAAATTAGTTTATGTTGAATAAAAAGGAGTTTACAGAAAATATGCTTTTAAGTGTAGTGGGGTTTGTTTTGGCATTTTTCGTTTACAAATGTCCATTTAGTACCTCCAAAGGTATAGTCAATTTCAGTGTATTGCCTATTTAGCTCTTAAATCTAGTGTCCTTATGATTCGTTTCTTTTCAAACAAACAAAAGTGGGGTAAGGAACGATCTTTTGTTAGCCATTGATATTAAACCTACCCAATAAAAATAGTAAAAAAAGGAAGAAGTAAAGAATTACTGATCAATAGTGATACAATAGTTGATAGACTTATCCCAACCCTGCGAGCTATTTACTATAGTATCCATGTCTACTAAAACGGCTTATTTAAAGTTTGGCTTTTAAACTAAATAGTGGTAAACAAATAAAAAGACTGGCTAGAGTTCTTCACTTGCATCTATATCGTTTTGTCATGTTTCAAACCTCAAGATGATCATTCGTCCGTCCAAAAACAGATATTTTATTTTTTTAAAAAAAAGATGTCTTATTGAGGTGATAAACGAGGATGTTTATTTAATGAGAATATTCACGAAATTCCACATATTTATAACGTAAAAACCTATAGTTTATTAACATTGAGATTTAGCTTACAGGGGAGTTTGTTCAAAGTTTTAAAGTTTGGAATATGATGAAGATCTTTCCTGCATCGGGGATCTACTTTTACAGCTCAACCAATAAGCAGACATGTCCTTGTATTTTTTTTTTTTTTTCTACAGCTGTTCAACTAAAGAAAATTCTTGTTATATCACGTACAACAAGCTATAATGTACGAGATGTGATTTACAGAGAGGCATAAACAACGAATGTGTGAAGACAATGGCAACGAAAATAACTCATCAAAGCTTTTTCTTAATTTTTTACTATCCTTAAAATGGGAAAAGGTATTTGATTGGGTCCGCGTTTTGAGTTTAATTTTTTCAAGACCTACACCTTTTATACACGTCGTCCCTCCCCCCACTTGTAGAAATTAGATACTAAATAAGAGTTATAGCAGAAGCAAAGTGCAGCAAAAGTGACTGAAAAACCGATGATTGTAATGAAATGACAATGCAGCTATTAAAAGACACGTTTTATCTTGAATTGCAAATCTAAAAAAAGATCTAGACAAACTATCTAATAGAATAATGCCAATATTCTATTTTCACAAAAAAAAAAAAAAATATGCCGCCCATCCACAATAATTAAATAGAAGTCAAGTATTTTGTACATGTACGGTAGAATGTGAACTTTATTGGTACCATCCACATCTGCATGACTCCCTCTATCTCTTTTTTTTTTTTTTTTGCAGGACGTAAATGTAGCCAATAATTAGAAATCATTCCCTCACTGTAACAAAGGTGAAAAAAAGGTATAAAAGAAGCCTTCATTCGGTAGTGAACTTTTCGATATCAATAACTCAATTGATTTTTACAAAAAAAAAAAAACTTATCAAACAATGAAATACTCTTTAACTCTTTTGACGCTTGCATGCTTGCTCCTACAATTTGTGTTTGTCACTGCTGCTGCCTTTAACCGTAGACAAGATGAACCTGACGATGCTAACAAGCAAGGTATGGGCGGAGGTATGGGTGGAGGTAACGGTGGAGGCAATGGTGGCGGTAATGGCGGCGGTGGAGGTGGTAACAATGGTGGTAACAATGGCGGTGGAGGCTGTGGTAATGGTCGTAGATATGGTGACCGCTGGTATAATGGCTGTAACACGTGCTGGTGTGACTATGGCGGTGTCCATTGCACTAATTACAACTGTCGTTATGAAGACAGTTAAGCAAGACCAAAAAAAAAAAAGCCCCCCACTTGTATATTGATAAATGGTTCCTCAATCTTGTAAATACTTTTTTTCTACATTTATTCATGTACATAATCCTTCTATTCTTTTGTGCCAATTTCTATCTTTTCTAAAAATAATTTAAATAACAATAATAAAAAAAGTTTAAAAATCTTACAAATTCATTGGTAAAAATGTCACAAATTCATTGGGAAAAACCTTCCGCTATTACTCTTTATCATCTTTTGTGCGCTAAAAATCCAGATACAATGCAGTGGTTCGTGTAACATTATATGCTCTCACACCGCCCAAACTAAATATTTTGGTCGCGACGCTAAACACAAAGGGCTTATCAGCTACACCATTAGATTTTGTTGTTTTTTAATATGTATTTTTATTTATTTATTGGAAACAAAAGAGAAAGATTTTTTAAGAGTATGTACAATATAAATGAGTTTTTTTTTTTGGGGGGGGGAGGAAATATAAATCTTTAGCTATTCATGATGGTACACTTGTTATGATTTGTTGTTTTGGGGTTTTTACTTGGTAGAAGCGTGCTTCTTTTCTAATTCTGCAAGGTTCTTCTTGAGAGAGGCAGTATCCTTTTCTTGCTTACCAATAGCATCACGGAGAAGTTGAAGCTTTTCAGCATCCTACAAAGAAGAACGACATCAGTACTCTTTTATTCTCACGTTTCTTTCTACCCAAAACTCTTTTTAACTTACGTGAGCACGAGCCCATTGGTTTTCAATAGCCTTTTCCTTTTGACCGAAAGAACCAGTTGAAGCAGTAGCACCTTCACTGCCAGAAGAGAAACGCTTGGTCATGCGGACGGAAGAAGAGAGACGTTGAACAGACTTGGAGAACATATTGATTATAGATGATTTTAAAAAATTAATTTAGAAAAAAGAAGAAAATAAACACAAACAGGAAAAATACGCTCCTTTTATTAGAAAAAAAAAAAAAAAAGTGGACTGACTGGCGTCATCCTATGACTAAAGAAAAAAAGATTTGTTACACAATAAATTCAAATGGCATTTGCATATGAGATTTCACAATACGTTATTTTTTTTTCCCTTTCATCTTATCTTTCCGCGTATGGCGTGTTTTTTGTCACCCTCTTTTTGTCACTTTTTCTAGCTGTAGATCCGAACATGACAGTAAAGTGTCAATTCATGTTTGAAACCCACAATAAACCTGTAGCTCCGTATGATGTCATGTTTTCGTGCGCTTTTTCATTTTGACTCATTCCCCAAAATACGTTTGCGTGTTTCCCATCAGCCGCGTTTTTTCTTTCTTTTTGATATAAAAAATAAATTGCTTTAAAAATAAACTGATACTCTGTTTATCGGAAATAAAAATACAAATACAAGTATACAAACACAAGGAAAAAGTTTCGTCTATACACTTTTGCTACTACTCCTCGGCATCATTAAAAATCCGTGCCTTGTGCTACCAAATTACGTATGGGTCGGCCTGAGCTTAAAAATAATCTGCCCATAAAACTTTTATAACAATGCATCGTTTCTCACCCAATATCTATCATTTTTTTCTAGAACAATCCCCCATGTATCACTTATAATAAAATCAGCTTATATTTTTGACAGTGGGGCTGAAATAGACGATGTTGAAAATATATCGATCGAGACAACATTTTGTACAATTTATCCTTTGTCTCTATCAACTCGTGCATACCAGCATAGTCTTTTTAATTTCTTTAAATAAATGCATTAATAGGTTATTCGTGGCTATACGTTAATAATGGAGCATGTGTCATGTTAATATCACTACTTTCCCAAACGCATGTTATCACTAGTACACAGGATAGATGAGATGCAAACAGTAATAAAACCTGTTTTTTACTTTGAACAGAACAATAATTTATTTATCGTAAAATTGAGGAGGCATGGTAATGCCAAGTTGCTTACGAAACTCATCCAGAGGTGTATGAAAATGCTCTTCAAAATAAACGTTCATGAGTGGTTGACAAGAAGCACCACATTGTAAAGCCCAAGGTACATAACCTGTATACAGACGCTTACGTTCTGGCCAAGAGAGTTGCAAAGGACCAAAAAGGGAAGCCAACATAGTCATGGGCAATCCCGTTTGAGCCCATTCGAACCACTTGAGAGCAATCTCTTCTTCCACTGTGACACCTAATCCTGTCAATGTATGAAAGAAATCATGAATTTCACGGTATCTCTTAATCACATAAGCCAACTCTTCATCATCCACAAATTTGACATCACAGCGCGTATCGGGTGTCACACCTTGTGCTTCAAGCCAACTAATGTAAACTTGGCCAAATGTACCTGGAGCACACGTTCTTTTTAACTTGTCAAAATCTAAAGCGCGTGTATTAATCACGGGTCTTTCTCGCAATATACGACGTCCCACACTGGATTCTAACATTTGATCTCGCATACTTGCTAAGAATTTACGACCTGTGGCTTCTCCGAGGGTAGCAATCATATCTTGATATATATGTTAGTTTTTTTTTTTTTTTTTTTTTTTTTTTTCATTTTGTATAGCAAATAAAAAGTATATATATCTATATTTTACCTCCGCGATAAGGGTCGTTCAATGCAGTGACAGCAGAAGCCACTGTCAAGACTGTTCTTTCAATATTAGATATGGGAACATGGGTTTCGTAAAGTTTTTTGCCATTGCTTCTGTGTTCTGAGAGAGGGAGGGGTCAGTGTTTGTGTGTATACAAAAAGATGCAAAAAAAAAAAAAGTCATTACCTTGATCAGTGACTGATGTCCCGGTAAATGAACGACTAAAGACTCGCAGGTTAGACTTTTGTAATAAGTGTCTACTTAATGTGGTCAATGGACGTGATCGTTGCATAATTATGTTTAATCAGTTGGAAAAAAAAAATAACAAAAATTATTTTATTGACATATTTTTTAAATGGAAATGAAACTCCCCCTGTGTAGTATGTTATCAGAAAAAAAAAAGAGTGACCTTGTGCTTATAATTGACATGTATATGTACACGTTTAAAAATAATACGAGCTTTCATTTACTTGAACACCCAAAATCATTTATTATGGGCTGGAAAATGCAGTCTAGTAACTGCTTGACGTATTTGAATGTGGTTTAAAACAGGACTTTTTTTTTTTTTTTTTGATGACATACAATCACAATATAAATGAGTCAACTTTAAGTAAAACGATACTTGTCGATGAATAAGAAAGAAGAATATTATCATAATTTAAAAAAATTTATTTTATTTATTAACATTTGTAATCGCACACCAGAGTTCCAATAAACCTATAATAAAAAGAGTGGGAACCCCTTTGGGCGGCCAAGTGCAAAGTTTCTAAAAAAATACCCTCAGAGGAACAAATAACGCATGTAGACCTTCATCATATTGGTATGAATAGAATAATGACTTGCCTAAGGTCATTAGCTAAATGATCGGGGACCCAAGAATCATTTGCTGTATATATATGTATATATTAAAAAAAGGGAGGAACTGCAACAAAATCTCTTTATATGTTTACAGGAACTTGCTTAAGGTTCACTGAAAGACAAAAGACTTGCCCAAGGTCATTTGCCTTTGATACCCTCTTAACCCTACCCAACAAGCGCAAAAAATAAAAGTGTGCCACCAAGAAACACCTTTTGTATATATAAAAAAAAAGAGGTGTGGCTGTTCACCTCCTAACAGTTTGACTTGCTAAAGGCCAAAAGACTGTTATGATAGAGATTTGTATACAGAACCAAGTATAAAAGAGCTACGGTTATTTTATGTAAACTTGCCTAAGGTTTTTCTTTCTCGCAGTCGGCTGGACCAGGACCTACTGCCTCTATTTTATAAGTACGGATGTTAATAAGAAGCTAAAAAAGTATATCTTCAAAGCATGTACTTTACCTTACACTTCCATGAAAATTCAAGATGTTTATTTGTTAAAGGAAAAAAAAAGAGAAAAACCTTTTTTTTTGCCAAGGTAACAAATCTTATACTTTTTCCCACTTAGCTGACCAAATCAGATTTACGTCACATCAAGATGTAAACAATCTTAAACACTTGTAAGTGTGAGAATCCATTACATAAAACTCTTTCTTTCCTTTTTATAGGCCGCTCACTTTTACAATTAGCCAATCACCTATGACGCTTATTAATTTTTTGTTTTTGTTGGAGGCAAAGTTTTTGAGCTTCAAGATTTCAAATTCAAGGTATAGTATTCGCACTTCAAATTCAGACAAATGATTATTTTTTTTTCAGACCAATAAAAATTCGTTTTCAGACAAATCAAAAAAGGGAATTCGGACTAATTTGTTTTCTTTTCAGACACTTGTATTTTTTTTTTTCAGATTATAATATGAACAAACATTGTAGAATAGCAAATGAAATTGTAATGAGTGACAACCGAGTCGAAGAGATTGTTAAAGAAATGGACATTGATGAGGATCCTGCTTTTACGTATGGCAAACTACTGCTTTTAGCTGATGATACTTTTTATTAAAAACTAAAAAGTGAATAAATTTATTTACAAAATGAGGGGAATAATTGTAGAATACATGTGTAATACAGGAAAGTAAAACTTTAATGGCGAGGACGGTAAAATGAATTTTCGCGGTTCCTGTCTACTGATTTCTCCATAATTGCCTTGATTACCTTAGGATCTAAGGCGGGTTTAAATGATTCATCGACTTGGAATGCATTGCTAGTATAACCTAATTTATGGATGACGTCTACAACATGGTACAATCTGTCAAGATAGGGTACAAGTTGAGGTAATTCATCCAAGGAAAGGGGAAAACGAATGCAATCTAATTCTGCAACCATTAAAATATCTTCCCTAGCCTCGCTGATGTTGAATTGTATGTTTGTACCAACGGCCATAATTTGAAACATATGCTTTCTGTTGTAATTTTTGGTGCCAGCCTTTGAAAATGTGCATAGCCTGTGAAGATCCATATTTATTTTTCTATGGTTTTTGGAATCCTTGATCGGTTTTACTTCGAAATATCCAATTGCCATCGAGTCATTCTCAACGATTCCATCCGGTCGGTTCTTATTTGGATCGGCGTCTGTATCAGAAAAGCAATTTGTGTTCAGCCATTTGAATATGACTTGATTGTGATCGCAGTCGAACAGCTTTTGGAAGCAGGGTTGGAGGTATCTCGTGCAAAGTTCGAACTCTTTGCATTCTTTTTTTTGATTTGAAAGAGGAAGCAACTCGACCAATGACTTAAAACACTGCAGCAATCTAATTATAGTTTGATCTGTGTTGTTGATGATCATATTTAAGATCTTGCCCTCCGCTTGAATCCTTGACATTGTACCACGGTTTAAGTCGTTGGCAATTATCATTAAAGTCATAATGGTATCGACTGGAAATTTCTGATTCAGTTGGCTGAAACCAAAGTTATTATACATGTCTTGACGTATAGTCTCTATAGGCTCGTCGAAATAGCTTTGCAATCCAGGATAAAATGAATTTTTCTCAAGGTAGATTATATCAGAGAATGCAAGTAGTTGTTGCAAGTGAGTCTCATAGGTAAGAGGAGCCTCCATTGATTCATATACGTCTCTCTTGAATCGTGACAAAGAATTTGAATACATATTTGAGCTATGCTCCGTTTTCACATCTTGGGCTATTATTGCTTTGGCATCCTCAAAACTAATTGTTTCGACACTATCTACTGTGGCGGTGGTGGTTGTAGTTGCTGAAGCACTGGCTGTGGTTACAGAAGAACTAGCATGGTCACTTTCTTGGGGTCGAGGGGGAGAGTTTCCATCGTTCAATTGGTTGATTTCCAAATTTCTTTGCTTCCAGAAGTCTTTAGCAGCTTTTGTCTTGCGCCACACGTTGTAATTGTCTTTTAGCTTTTTTTTCAGATTCTCATCCTCCACATAATCGGTTATTGCTAAGAAGCGTATTTGTACTCTTCTTGTATCGTACGTTTTGAAAAAATTAAAAAAGTCGATGTGTGTTATGTTGTTGTTGCTGTTCTTACGCAGCCAATTGATTTCACTAGGAAGTCTTTTTGTGGTTTTTTTCTTCACCATGGCACTGAAAAGAAATGAGGAAAAGATAAAATAATACTCCCAAAACGCCTTCACAAATATTTTGTTACTGGTAGGTTGTGTGGTACAGACTCTACATGACACATTTTAGGATGCCAATGATATTGTAATAAAGCAGGTATCCAAGTGATCATCACTTACAAATAACGATGAAAAGTTAACATTTTGCCTTCTACGTTAGCAATATAGCTAATATATATAGCTAATATATATAGCTAATATATATAGCTAATATGTATTATATATATATATATACAGTAAGTGAAAATGACGACTGCGGCAACTTTGATTTTGCAAAAATATACGTTTTTAGGATCGAGCAGCAGCATTGAAAGTGTGAAATTAAATCGCCATTCTAATTGGGAGCAGAAGTTATTGTGTCATTCAAGATAGTGTAATATTATTGGATGAAAAGATTTCTGTGAGATTTTTTTTTTTTTTCACGGTATATGGATGATTTTTTTTCATCCCCCAATTTTCTTCTCACAGCTAAACTCTTCGTCTGAATGTAAATCGTTAATTACTTTGCAGTAACAGTTCCAAACGTGAAGGTAAAGAGAGCAAATATGTTGTCAAAGATGTATATATTCATTCTGTTTTGTTTTTAGAACTCTAAGATGTTTATTTGGCCACATCAACTTTCGACATCAACGTAATTACATGGGGAGACTATTTTTTTTGTCGCCTCTTCTTTCTTCTTTAATTGTGCAATTCAAGTCAAAACAAAAGATAAGTTTACTTACTCAGTCTTACTCAGTCAAACGGTCAATAGTACGCGTGCCAACGTCGTAGGCGAACGGACACGCTGGCCCTCGCGTCAGTCTAAGCCTTGTAGCTATACGGCCACCACATTGTTGAGTATGCCAACGTCGTAGGCGAACGGACACGCTGGCCCTCGCGTCAGCCTAAGCCTTGTAGCTATACTTCCACCAGACTTCCATTGAGACCCGACTTGGACACACTGGCCCTCGCGTCAGTCTAAGCCTTGTTGCCTCTTGGTGGCTATTGACTCTATTGACTCTAGAAATAGGCGGTTTACTGACTTTTTTTTTTTCATCTAGATTCACATCGAATACACCCATGGCTCTCTATTAGAGAGCTTTGGGGAGCCAAATTTCAATTCAATGTTTTCTCAAAAAAGGAAAAACCTTGGTCTTCAGCTCCGATGTAGCACAAAGCAATGGATGGGAAACAGGGAGGAAATAAATCCAACGCCTTTTTGTGTTATTTCGTTTCAGCGAATTATATTGGTTTATTTTAGTGATTTTTACGAAATTTCGTCATGATGATTTCCAATAAAGCTATTGCATTCTCTTATTTTTAAACGCTATCTTTTGTCTACTTTCAAAAATAATAAACCTATTTCATATATTTCAAATGACTAAAAACAACGACACCTCAAAAAACTCCCCACCTAAAAAACACTACCGAGAATGGACAGACCGAAGAGTTATTGCTCTTGTCGATGCCATGATTGCATATCATCCATATGATAGAAAGAAGCTTGAAGTGTCAGAGGCAAAAAAAGCCGTTATGAGAAACGTTAACGAAATAGATAGAGATGCAGCAACAATTTATAGTTGGAATACCTTTCAATTGAAGATCAGCAATTTGATCAAAGAAGTTACCAAAAAGCAGTTGTATGACACTACGTATGGCACTGGAAGTAACGATTCTGAGACTTACCTAGAGCACAGGGTAATGGAATTGAAACTGAAAGTAAGCAACCAATTTAAATTATATAACATCATATGTTAATATGTTACTTAGATGGAAGAGAGTAAGCAGTTGACAAGTAAGACGAAGGAGGCCGAAACCAATGCTCTTTTAAAGAAAAAAAGAGACCAAGAAGCTTTGGTAGCAGCTTCAAAGAAGGGCAAACATGCTGTCGGTCAGCAAACCAACACGAAGCAGCTGGACTTTTCATCTCTTGAAAAAAATGAATGTGATGAGGAAGCCATTAAGGATAAACAAGCAGCTTGTGTAAATCCCGTTCCTGGATTGAACAGAGGCATTAAACGCTCAATTGAGAACCTGGAACAGGACAGGTTACAAGAAAAAGATGCCATAAAAAAAATGGGTCTTAAAATCGATATAATTGAAGACATGATGAAGACTGTTATCAAAAAGCAGGATGACAATGAGAAACTATTACACCAAGCCCTCAAAGGTCCCGTCCCTCAACATCCCTATCTTCCTCATTCAATTGCACCTGTCCAACTTCCAAAGCAAGACAATATAAAAAGCAACAATAAAAACTGGTTTATTATGGCCTTATTTCATCAATATATTCCTCTAATGTTGGCGGTTCTATTCCAAAATATTTACTCGTTTGATTACCTCCATTGACACAGATGTGAACATTTTTAATGAGCGTTGCAACTTCATAAAAAAGACCACATCTGCTATGGAGTATCTTCTGTTTTGGCTTGTATCTAACAAAAGAAAACAACTTTGCAACATGGTTAAACTCCCATTCTACTGCGATTCTTACTGCTTTCATTGAATCATTTACATCATTTTCTGCAGCAGTCATTTGGGTGCCTAATATTTGCAGTTACTTATGATACGTAATTGTATTTTGAAACCGACAGTAAACTATTACCTGTTCTGAATGGCTTTACCAATCATCTATCTTCTCTATATGCAGGATCTCCGTATATTGCGTATATCCTTTCTTCAATGTGAGAAAAATCAAGGCATTGATGAAGATCAACGATTACTTCACTTGTGTCAAACATGTTTTGGTCATGAATAGCTCCAGCAAAGGGGCCTGCTAGACTGGCCGTAATACCATCAGGCGTGACAATACTTTGGTATTTTAAACCATGACAGCGCTATACGTAAGAGAACATAATTTTGGAAATTAGAACAAGAAACACATATCGATCATGGATCATTAACCGTGTGCCCATTAAAAGTAGATCTTTGGCCACGGATGGGTCTAGCAACCGCGACCAAAGTGCCATCTATGAAACCCACAATATTATCATATAGAGATCCTATGTAAGTGATAGGTACAATTCAGCGCATTATTAATAACTATATAATATATTTAGCATCATGTTTACCTTTTGCTTGTATGACAGCTGAAAACATTTGAAGATTGAAAGGATTCAAATGTTTCTTATTAAATCTGATACCTTCGTGAAAGTTGTCATGGACCATTTCAGTCATACCATTGAAAACAACATCGATAGTTGTTTGATTAATTCCAAACAACATCTCAAGATCGGGAAGGCGATTCGGATACGCTTGTCTTCGTAGCATTATTCCTAGACACAAGACTCGGCCAAACGAGAATCGATGGCTTATATCATTCGTTCTGAAATAGATACGTTCAGGGAAGCACATTGTTCTTGCTATGTATTTAAGTTGAACATGCGAAAACCTAAAAAGATCTATGCACATCTTGTCATTTAACATCTCGAATTCCAAACGTTGACCATTATTAAAGAAGCCTCGTACATCTGGACGTTGAAGTATATCGTCTTCTAACATATCTTCTCCGTCATTTTCAGCAATAATAGAGTTGTTTCCGTTATCAAGAATTTCTTCAGTAATGTATTGATCAGACATAATGATAAAAAAGTTTAAGTAAAAAAAGAGAAACTAAAGTATTTCGTTATGTCATTGAAAGACGTAATGTTATTGTATTTTTTTTTGGCACTTAAATTTTGATGTGAGATTGATTCGAAATATGTGTAACAAGAAAATTTAAACGCAGAACTGAATTGAGACAAAAATCCCCCAAAGCTCTCTAATATTAAAGAACTAAAGTAATTAATTATGTTATGCATGATGGGCCTTACATCACATTTATTATTCTTCAATATCATTGGACGAAATATGAAACTTGATTGAACTTTAATTTTCTTGATGCTATTTTTGCGTCAAGAATGAAGAAAAAACATCGAACTTGAAATTTGGAAATCACTTGAGCCCCCAATCATATTTTTTTTTAATTATTTGACCAAGTTTTTTCATTTTCATTAATATTAAAAAACCGCGTTAAAGGTAAAAAACCAAAGCCCGCCTACGCAAGGCGATGATTTTATTTTAAAGAAAAAGAAAAAAAAATGAGGAAAAATCCTGCTCTTTTTTTTTTTTCTCTCAATGAACCTAGCAAATGAAATTGGAATGAGTGACAGCCGAGTCGAAGAGATCGTTGAAGAAATGGACATTGATGAGGTTTCTGCTTTTACGTATGGCAAACTACTGCTTTTAGCTGATGATACTTTTTATTAAAAACTAAAAAGTGAATAAATTTATTTACAATATGAGGGGAATAATCATAGAATACATGTGTAATACAGGAAGGTAAACCTTTAATGGCGAGGACGTTAAAATGGATTTTCGCGGTTCCTGTCTACTGATTTCTCCATAATTGCCTTGATTACCTTAGCATCTAAGGCGGGTTTAAATGATTCTTCGACACGCAATGCATTGCTAGTATAACATAATTTATAAATGACGTCTACAACATGATACAACTTGTCAAGATAGGGTATAAGTTGAGGTAATTCATCCAGGGAAAGGGGAAAACGAATGCAATCTAATTCTGCAACCATTGAAATATCTTCCATAGCCTCGCTGATGTTGAATTGAATGTTTGTACCAACGGCCATAATTTGAAACATATGCTTTCTGTTGTAATTAATGGTGCCAGCCTTTAAAAATGTGCATAGCCTGTGAAGATCCATATTTTTTTTTCTATGGTTTTTGGAATGCTTGACCGGTTTTACTTCGAAATATCCAATTGCCATCGAGTCATTCTCAACGATTCCATCCGGTCGGTTATTATTTGAATCGGCGTCTGTATCAGAAAAGCAATTTGTGTTCAGCCATTTGAATATGACTTGATTGTGATCGCAGTCGAACAGCTTTTGGAAGCAGGGTTGGAGGTATCTCGTGCAAAGTTCGAACTCTTTGCATTCTTTTTTTTTATTTGAAAGAGGAAGCAACTCGACCATTGACTTAAA